TGTCCTTTGTGCTACTTTAACATAAATTGAACACCGCATTTCTAAACTTCCTTCATTTGCTTTTGTAGAACGAAGGCCTCTGCAACTTGAACTGCAACCAACATCAATAGTCAAGTTAAACCTCCATGTATTTAAAAGATAAGATGTATTTAAGTCGATCAAAGCTCAGTATGCTCCATTTTTCTTTCAATTATGTAAATATAGATAACATTTAAAAGTCTTGGAGAAAGAACTAACCTTTTATAGGCCAGAAAGCCAAATCCACAGAGAGATCCAAGAGAAATTTACCTCGTCCTTTTAGGTGAAAGGAGCATTCAATATTCCAGTATTTCAAGAAGCAGGATTAATGGTTTGGAACTTGTATATACTCGTGTTCAAATCAGATGGAACAAAATATTGTTTAGATTGGAACTATACCTGATCTCTAACTTGAGTTAGCCTTCCACAGATCGTAATTTGTAAACCTTGCACACTGCCCACAAAATCAATTTCAAAACATCAAGATTACTTCAGATACTTTCTTCAAGGTTTGAATTTCAGATGCAAATCAAAATTATCGGCATCTTCATGCTACCAAAAATCATATAGCAAGATATAAGTGTCACGGACTTAAGGATAAGTCTTGAATCTCACATCGAACATAATAGGAAGGTCACTAGGGTATAAAAGGGTTCACACCATCTCCGTCTTGTGAGCCGTCTTTTGTAGGACAAAACCGTAAGGTTAGGGGGGCCAAAGCGGACAATACCTCACAAGAGTGTGAACCGTGGCATAAAGGCTGATCTGGGACGCCGGAAGGGTGAATGCCCGGGTCTCGGAGTCGCGCGGGTTCGGAGCTTGAGTCTCGACCGTGACAAGTGGTATCAGAGCCAGCCCTAAACCATTCGATCCACGCCAAGCACCTCGAGGGAGGTAGGCAGGGTGGCTAGCTTCCGTGATAAGGGCATCACGAGATTGGGTGCAGAAGAATGTCACGGACCTAAGGATAAGTCCTGAATCCCACATCGAATATAATAGGAAGATTACTAGGGTATAAAAGGGTTCACACCATCTCCGTCTTGTGAGGTGCCTTTTGTAGGACAAAACCGTGAGGTCAGGAGGGGCCAGAGCGGACAATACCTCACAAGGGTGTGAACCGTGGCATGAAGGCTGATCTGGGACGCCGGAAGGGTGAATGCCCGGGTCCCGAAGCCGCGCGGGTTCGGAGCTTGAGTCTCGACCCGTGACATAAGCACTTGGTTACCAGCTACCTTTGAAGTGGTTTAACATGCTTGTAACCTGGATATATCATGTCTCCAAACAAAAATGTACCCACTTTTATTGACAGCTTTAAAGAATGGCATGGATTGACTACAAAGAAAAACTCAACCAGGTAAGATGGTTTAGTGGAAAAGAAGAGCAAAAGCTTGGGTGCTTCTTTTAATCATTGCGTCAATGGTGTCACTTACTGATGCCTAGGTTCAATGTCACGGCTGGTACAGTATCTACATTTCTCAGACATTGAGGCACAGGCAGGGAAGCTTCTCCTTAAAGCATAAGCTCAATGCATCTGTACAGTTGTTCTGGTAAGAAACAACATACGTGTTGCACTGCCTGGTCTGGTAAGAAACAGTTGTGCTGCACTGCCACTTACCATTTTTTATCTTCTTTAAGTTCCCTGGTACAAGTTTTATGACAATCTTATAAGAAAAAATGACAAAAATTAAAAGTTTCATGTCAATTTCTTATATATTGCAATCTATAGGTTAAACAACATGCAACAAGAACAAATACTCTTTCTTTGAGAAATAATCAAATGATATGAAAACATAGAAGAGTTTTTAAAATATCTATCAATTAAAGCAATTAATAATAAAGTTTTGTAATTTAACATGCAAATAGAAAGTATCTAGGAATAAAAGACCTCATCAAAGGTTTCAGAATTAGCAAATATTTTAATTTTACCATTGTACCAGAAAAAGTATTATTTCTGTTGGTACTTACTATCTCTTCCTCCCATCATCCATTTTCACACCTTGTTTCAGCATGGGACTAGCTTCTAGACCTTCATTGAGCTCCAATTGGACTGAAATTACAGAAATTGAAGTACAAAAAAGAAGCTGTAAATACGTAAATACCTGAACATTAAATAAAACCAGCTTCTTACCATTTACATTGTCTCGCACATTCTGCAACTTCCATGAATGCCTGTAAACTAAAAATTATCGGTTCCCTCTTTCCTAACTCGAAGTTGGGATGCCGGTCTTAATTAATATCATTTCATGCTAAAAAGGGATGAAAATCAAACTGACAGGAAAGACAGACACCAGACAAAGATCCATGTGACAGGCGGTCCAGACTCCTCGCATACCTGAAAAATGAACAACTGTAATATCTATAAGTTTCAAAATGGAAGTAAGACGAATAGCAATGTCTTTTTGGAAATTGGAAATCCATTAGAATGAAAGTGGAAAAGCTTTTCCAAATTGAAATACCTAGCCTTGAGTATATGCAAAGGATAATGTAAATTTGTAATCCCTCATTCTTCCCTTTACTTTTCAGAGATTAAACAGCTTTCAATTTGACTTCTCTGGATCATAGATGAATGTACAATCAATTTCATCTTTGAAATATATATCTAAATAAACTGAACGTTTCTATGTCACATGTAACATATGCAAGAATTGTTCAATAGCAATGCAAATTTCTCAAAATCGATTTTTATATGCAATATCATATATAATTGTGAAACAAAATCCTCCTAAAGTTTTAAGTGTTACATCTATTCTGATGCATTTCCAAATTGTCATACCCGGGACATCCTCTAATTGATTTTAGTCAAATTCCTCTTGATAACATGTGAAACCATCATCAATTTGGAAAAGAGCACGTGGACAACGTTGAACCACTCTTGTTCTTTATCACCTTCCTTTGCACCATTCTGTTGGCAATGTTCAATTATAAATATATAAATAATGAAGGTTATTAAAAGTAGTGTAAAAGAAAAGAATAAAAAGGAATTTTTAACTTCCATACTTAGGTTTCATTGCAAATATGGAAGAAGGTATACTCTTTACTTATGCCATTTTCTTCTCCGTGAGATGAAATGGTTCTTGTTTTTCCACCTATAAATAATAGATGAATCTTTTATCCATGTATTCACAGGTGATAGGCTGTTATTTCACAATTGAGCACATGAACTCTGCAAGAACAAATAATGAGGGCTTCTTAAAATGTTGCAATGATAGATCATAACTCCTAATAATTACATGTCCAATTAGCTATAGAAGAAACTAAAACATGTAAAATTATCCTGAAAATATTGTGAACACGAAAAATAATTGTTTTAAAAAAATATAACTGGATTTTTTGACTCTTTTGAATAAAATGAAAGATTATGCTAGTCCGGAACTCTTGATTAAAGAAAATCAGTTCAAGTTTGCTAATGCTCCAATATAGTAAATATTTAGATTGAACACAGAAAGACCTATACTTGTGCTATCAAAATTGGCAGGAAAATTCATAAAACTCTGCTCCATACAACAACTAGCACCAAGCGTTAGGAAAATCAACACTCATACAAAGAACCCACACAAAATAGCAAGCTTAAATCAAGAATAAGAACACATAAATACATTTGGTTCGACTCAACTCAAAATGGCCTACTCCAAACACAATCCACTAACAAATAAATCTTTATAACTGAAAATAATCTACTAACAAATAAATATTTACAACTATGTGAGACTTTTAAAATAAGAAAAGTCTCCAAAAACTCTTTACTCAAAACTTAACCCAAAATCCAATTACACCATTTTAATAGCTTACTCACTTAGCTATTCTCTTGGTGTCTAACTATCTGGGACTATCAAACTAAAACCAAAACATTTTATTTATAAGGGTGAAACCCTTTATACCTTTACTAAACTCCCAATGTGGGATACAAGACAAACTCAAAAACTCACTAACTTTCAATGTGGGATTATGAGATTCAAGGTAAATCCCAACAAATTCTGCCTTAACTTGAATCTCCAAACACTTCAACAGTATCTGCAAAGCTAACACGCTTACATTTCTTCTTTTCTTTCATCACAAGGATCCCAGCAACGAAGCCTCCATCAAACATGTACAAATGATTTTTGACCCTATTCCCTTGTAGAATCACACTATCATTCTTGTACACTTTCAACCAATCATTACTACCATAATATGTGTATCCCCGAGAAGCTAACTCACCAAAAGCAATCAAATTGTAGTGATAACTTGGTACATACCTTACATGATGAAGCATCCTAACAACACCATTGTGAGATCTAAGGCGAACACTCCTAATGCCTTGAATCTGCACCTTTTCTTTGTTAGCAACCACAATATCTCCATACTTCTCATTCACATCCAACTCCACAAAGTAACTCCTATCATTGCAGACAGTTCCTATCATTGCAGACATGAACTGTAGCAACTGAATCAAAAACCCAACCTTTATCACCTTTCAAAGTCAGAGCCTCATCTACATAAGTCATCAAAACAACATCATCATCATCATCAGACATGACAACAGCAGTATCACTCTTCTTTTCATTTGATTTCTTCGCATCATTCGCCTTTTTGAAAGCAGCAATATCCCTTCTCAGCTTCCTGCAGCGCACTTGGATATGTCCCTTTTCACCATAATAATAACATTCTATGTCACTGTAATTTCTATCTCTTGACTTAAATCTTCCTCTTGATCCATCAATCTTCTTTTGAGTCCTTTCTCGATCAAAACCCTGTACAGCTAGTGTACTCCGTTCTGAGCTCCCATAAACCTTTCATTCTCATGCAATAGGGCAGTCACATCATCCAACTTCAAAGTAGACCTACCAACCAACATAGTCTGAACTAGAGGCCTATAAAACTTGGTCAAAGATGACAGCAAAATTAAAGCTTTCTTTTCATCTTTTAACTCATCAATAGAAATTGCTAGCAATTGAGAAACGAATCTATTAAACTCATTCAGGTGATTATGAAGACTCATACCTTCTTAATACAAATCCATCTTCAAACATAATCTGTTAGTCAACGACTTCGAAGCATAAATACCTTCAAGCTTATCCCACAAACTTTTTGTAGTACTCTCAGTCAACTGACTATTCTTTACCTCTGGAGCTAGCACTAATCTAATAGTACTAACAGCTTTCTTCTTAATCCTATTCCAATTAGGCTCAGACATTCCCTCAGGCTTATTACTCTCTAATGCCTAATCCAATCCTTGTTGTATACTTTGTCATAACATAAAATTACTCTTTCCATTAAATAACGAAATCTCAAACTTAGGTATAGGCATACTAGAGATACCTACTTTAGACATTTTCAAACACTGTTTTATGATCTCTTAGGCCCCAAACCTTAAACCTTGAACCTCACTCTGATACCACTTGTTAGGAATATTAACACCCACACAAAATAGCAAGCTCAAATCAAGAATAAGAACACACAAATATATTTGGTTTGGCCCAACTCAAAATGGCCTACTCCAAACACAATCCACTAATAAATAAATCTTTACAACAAAATAGCAAACTCAAATCAAGAATAAAAACACACAAATATATTTGGTTCAGCCCAACTCAAAATGGCTACTCCAAATACAATCCACCAACAAATAAATCTTTACAACTATGAGAAATTTTTAAAATGAAAAAAGTCTCTAAAAACTCTTTATTCAAAATTTAACCCAAAATTCAATCACACTCTTTTAATAGCCTACTCACCTAGCTATTCCCTTGGTATCTAATTATATAGGACTATCAAACTAAAACTAAAACATTTTATTTATAAGGGTGAAACCCTTTATACATTTACTAAACTCTCAATGTTAAATACAAGACAAATTCAAAAACTCACTAATTTTTTATGTAAGATTATAAGATTCAAGGCAAATCCCAACACCACATATACCTATGTGAAATTCTTTTCTACAACTTCAATCTCTACTCTCATCAGATAACAAGCATTCTGTAGATAAGGTCGTGGTTAGTATCTTATGCTGCAAAAATAACCGAAAATCTCTTTTTTTTTAATTAATGGAAAAAAAATCAGTGGATCATGAATCTACAAAAAAATTAAATGTCTGAAGATTAATAAAATAAATTGAAAGTGTTTTCCTTTCTCCTTAGTGTATACATTTGAAGATGTAAGGAACACTATAATAGTAAAAAGATCAATTTGAAATTGACATGCCTGAGACTTTGATCCATTGACTCTTTTGTTTTCAACTTGCTGCTCTGAAGAATTATTGTCTAAACCATTATCCTCTGAAACGGAAACGGCTCTGATCATTAAGTTGCACACAAGGTATATGGGCTATCTTGGACCACTCTGGTCCTTTATCCTTTCCACACCGTTCTTTTAGCACTGGACATCTCCTAATATGTAGCCGCAAAAGCGAAGAAAGCATCTTCTTTTCCGGAAGAGACTTGAGGTTTGGGCAAGAATCGATGGACAAGAACTCCAGAGAGGTGAGGTCCTGAAAGCACATGGAGGATAGGGTTTCTAGTTTTGGGAAATTGCTGATGACGAGAGAGGTGAGAGAGCAGGGCAGCGTCATTCCTCTCTCTTCTTGTGGAAACAACACTGCATCGGGACATCCATTTTCTATCCAGAGAGATTTAAGAGAAGTGAGTCTATGCAATCCCCAATCAATTAGTGGCTTACAAATATTGGGTCCTTTGATGGTAAGTCTTTTGAGATTAGTAGGAATGCCCTCTTCTGGGAAGGATGTCAGACTTGAGGCAATTTTCTATTTCTAGTTGTTCTAGACAGCTGAGGTTGTGTATACCGTCGGGCAGAGCTTGGAGTTTTTCACAGTAACTGAGGCGGAGGACTTTGAGGTTTGAGGTGGACAAACCACTTCCCGGAAAGGAATCCAAATTTGAACAATATAAGTCTATGGACTGGAGATGGCTGAGCTTGTTCAGGCCTTGAGGTAAATACTTAATATTTCTACACCCAAGGATCCTAATACTTCAAGAGAAGAGTTATCTTGAATTTCTTCAGCTATGAACTCTAGCTTTTCACAATTGTATATTTCCAGTAGTTTAAGCCTCGTGGGTAACTCCCCTCTTGATGATAAAGATACCAGAGATGGACAATTGTCAATATACAACAGTTCAAGAAGACATGCACTGCTGAGGTTAACATTCTCTCCCTCTTCCAACAAACACCGTATATTTGTACAACCAACAATCACCAGGCTTTTAAGATTCGAAGGCAAATTGTAGTTTGAAAGAGAAAGCAGATTTGGGCAAGACCAAAGCTGTAGCACCCTAAGTGATGAGATGTAGTGCAAGGTTGTTGATAGCTTTTCTAACCTTTCACAATCCCTTATTGTCAATTTTTGAATGGTGCAAGGGATCTTCAATTGCATCAATTCTTCTCTTTCCTCCTCTGCCCCTATGGAGACAAGTTGCGACCACTTTCCAATACTCAATTCACCAAGTGACATCGACTGAGTTAGCAATCCCCAACTGTTCTCTTGCAAAGAGCACAATTCCTCACAATCTTCGATCTTAAGGGATTCCACTTTTATTGATCCTAACGTCAACCATTCTGCTGCACATGTAAATTTAGGAATTCTTGAAAAACAGACTCTTTTTAATGAGCTGTGGTCCACAAAACCTTTATACACTATCTCCTGGCACCCTTGAACATCCAATTCCGAAAGCATTGGAAGGTTTTGAATTGAAATCACCAATTTCTTACAATTCCAAGTCACAAGTTTCTCCAAAGAAAGAAGATTTTCTGGTATACTCCCCAACAGCTCCGGACAATTCACAATACGAAGCTCACGAAGATTAGAAAACTTCTTAGCTTCCTCATTAACTTCACAAAAGTTCCAATTCTCCCATTTAGGCATGCCTCTAAATTCTAAACTCTCTAATGAAGGAAATGCATTTGGCGCATTCATTCCAAAGAACTCAACACCCACACTAGTTACATTGTCCAATCTATTGATGAATAATTTTTTCAACAATGGCAATTGCCCAATTGATGGCAATGATGTGCAATTTGGACAATATTCAAGATATAAAGATAGTAACTTATTGAATGAAGAATCTCCTATCCATTCCACCAACCTCACACCATAATAGCCCTTGAGGCGAAGCTCCTTAAGTTTTTCTGAAGGACGAAGCAAATGCAACACTTGTGTCTCGATTACTCCATTTCTATTCCCAAAGTCTTCACTCCACATCAATTCTAACTTATCCAGTCCTGATTTCTCATGTAACTTAGCCTTCAATGCATCTTGAGTTTCAACCACATTCTCCAACCCTGAAATATAAAGTTGACCCTTGAGATTTGATAAAGCATCTAGCTCTCTTATTTGACATCCTTTGCCCTTTTGCAAAACAAAATTGGATAGTGTTTGAAGATCACTTAGCGTGCAAATATTACTTGGCATGCCTTCTAATTTATTTGCACCTTGGATATCAAGATAACATAGGTTGACTAGGTTTTCCATATCTGAAGGTAGCTTTTCAAGCATCTCACACTCCCTTAATAAAAGGGTTTCTAAATTATAGAGGTTACTTACGGACTCCGGCAAGCATTTAATTTGAGTGCAAGAAAAATCTAGGTATCGTAAGTGTTTTAAATCTTCAATAAAATCCGGTAATTTCGAGATTTGATACCCTCTCAAAGAAAGCACCCTTAGGCATCTCAAAATTGGCAACAAATGTGTTAGAACATTATTGGTTACAAAGCAACTCCAAAAATTTGACAGCGAAAATGGTAAAAAAGTACGTAAATGTTGCACTTCACCAATGCCCTCAAACTTTTTGATGCCATCATACAAACCACCAATGTAAGATAAGTGGCGAGCGTGCTTTGAAATTTGCTGATTACCCTCTATTCTGAAGCATATTTCTCCGGCAACTGATCGAGCCAAATCATTGATGAGGTCATGCATAACAAATCGAGATCTATCTTTGTTTGATATTTGCAAAAGAGACCTTGATACTAGATCTCTAAAATACTCGTGGCCTAGATCTTCAATGCTATGCTTATCTCTTGCTTCTTGTAAAAAGCCTTCTGCCCTCCATACAAGATTATTTCTCTCTCTTGAAATTCATAGTCCTTAGGAAGAATGGAGCAATATGCAAAGCACCGCTTCAAATGTGGAGGAAGATGATGGTAACTCAATTGGAGAGCTGGAATTATGTCAAACCGATGGTCTGATAGCTTCCATATCTCACTCTCCAATATTTTTTCCCAACCTTCAAGGTCAATATCAGTACGAGCCACGCCTCCAAGGGTTTTAGCAGCCAAAGGCAAGCCGTTACACTTTCTAACTATTTTCTCAGCAACTTCTTTTAGATTTGGATGTCCTTCAAAATCTTTTGCTCCCAATGCATGTTGAGCAAATACAGACAAACAATCATCTTCTGACAAAACTTCCAAAGAATAAGCAAAAGAAGCACCCATTGTAGATGAAACAGCAAAACTTCTTGTTGTCAAGATAATTTTGCTTGCCGGAGTCCTTGTTAGAAAAGGAGATTGTAAAATGGTCCAGTCATGATAATTCTCATTCCAGACGTCATCCAAAACGATCAAAAAATTTTTCCCTGACAACTTATTCTTTAATTTTTCTTGAAGAGAATTCAAATCATTGTCATTACATGGCTCTGAAGTGACTGCTTGGAAAATTGCTTTTGTTATTCTTGTGACATCAAAATCATCAGAAACACAAACCCATGCTTTGAGATCAAAATGATCGTGAACAGTAGCATCATTGTAAACAAGTTGGGCCAAGGTTGTCTTACCGATCCCTCCCATTCCAACGATGGGAATCACAAAATTTCCGTCATCATCACCGTTGAAGACCAATTCAAGTATTGTCTTCTTGTCTTTGTCTCTGCCATACACCTGAGTTTCGATCTCCAGAGAAGTAGGCTGCTGCCTTTCTTTTATTCTGTTGGATTTCGAGCAGTCAATCATTCTCAGTTGCAGCTTATTTTTTTGAGGCTCTAAATCTTTCAATCTGGAAGTGATATCTTTTATCTTTGACATCATGTCACTGTTACAGAAAACATCGTTGAATGTATCAAGTCTGGGCTTCTTACTTGAGCTACCATGACGTTCCAACTTCAAATTGCGCTTGGCAATTTCGGTTTCAACCTCGTCCACAATGTCATCCACATCGTATGCCATGTTTTGGAGGTCTGACAACCAAAATTTCACAGATTGATCTTTGATCTGCCTCTCCTCAGCATCATCAAGCAACGCACGAATCTCCAGCAATTCCTTCTTCAACTTCTCAAGCTCTTCTTGAATCTGCTTTTCACTGGCAAATTGAAAGAATTCAAAAGAACCCAACTTGTCTAGGAGATAGTCAAAGAACTTGGAGACAACAACTTCTCGTATAGCGGACAAGGCTTCGCTGAGCAAAGACATGGTTGGATTGCGTAGTTGGAAGAAATTAGGGAAGGAAATAAGATATAGAGAAAGCTGAGAAAAGAGTTTGAGCTAGCAGTAAATAATGAAGTTGGGTAAAGATGAATTGTTTTATTAGATGACTTTTTGTTCTCTTTCTTTCTTTTGCTGATTGATTTCTGGAATCTTTTTACAAGTCAATATTGGACCCACATTGATTTTTGAACGCACTAACACCACCGCTACTGGCTATTGGTAAAGGACGAAATTTCAATTGAGTTCTTTCTGCAATTTCATCGATCCTACACAACAAATCCAACGCCCCTTAACTCACCTTTCATGGGTAATTTCTAAGTTTGAATGTTGAAATGGGGGAAATATATATATACGTACAATTACTTTCCAAGTTTTATCAACAGATTTGGTGTATATATTTTTTTTTATATTTTTTTTTATTGTCATCCTATATATTTTTTTATTTGTGATTCTTAAAATAATGGTGTGCAGGACGATTCAGTAAAAAGGCATAAAAAATTTAAATGCATATCTAAAAAAAAATTGATGAGAAAATCATTAATTATATATTAATCCTTGGAAAATTAATTTGGCAAATTCGATTTTTTTTATTTTTAAATATTTTGATCACTAAAATTAAACATATTAATATAAATTATGTAATAATGTAAAATTAAGTATAAGTAAATAGTATTATTGGAGACTATATTATATTATACTATATTACTGCAAATTCTTTTCGTTGCCAGTGCTAGCCTTCATAAGGCTAAGGTTGGTCCGACTACATACAGAGGTGATAATGGCGACAAACGAAAGTTGACAGATGTTTTTGTTTGGAAAATAAATTAAATTTATTTAACCAAAAAATCATTAAAAAGCATACAAAATGAAATCGAAGGAGAACCAAAAATCATGACTAGTATTGTATTTTCAAATTGGCACCCCATTTTTGAACTAAACAAAACTAAAAAAATGAGGTGTGGTTTGGAATCTTTTATTTTTGCAACTGACCTACAGGTACCTTTGGTATCTTAATGATATGTCACGTGCCTTTCTGGACGCATGCGGTACTAACAAAAGCAGATGTAATAATAAATGGGTACGCTGCTATTGTTTTGAATAATTGAGTTGAACAGCTACAATTTGTCCTAACTCATTAGTAGAATTGAAAAATAAGAAATCAAGATTTGAAATTATAGTGTTTAATTTGGTTTTGATTATTTTTTATTTAATTTAAATATTAAATATATATTAAATTTAGATTAAATTTTAAATTGGAAAGTAAAATTAAAAAAATTTATATATTTTTATTAATTTTTAGATATTTTAATTTTTATAAAATAAAATAATTATTTTATATTTCATTTATTAAAATATATTAAAAATTACATTAAAATAATATCTAAAAAATCAAAATTTAAATTTAAAAAAATAATAAACCAAATTAAATCAAACTATTAAAATTCAATTTAAATTTAAATTATATATTATCTAAAATATTAAACTAAATTCGACTCTCTTGTTACCATCCTTATTAGTTCATCCCGATATTAATAAAAGAGCTGACCTTTTATAAGAGAACCTTATAAAATAGACTTCAAAGAACAAAACGGATATGGACACACTACTTTTTTGGACTAATTAGTTATTTGATATTTAAATTATATTTTTTTATTAATTTTAATATTTAATAAATAAAAAAGTTGCTATCAAATAATCAAATTTCACTTTCTTTAAACATTAATTTCCCTTTGTGAGAGAGTTAGTTGTAAATTTCTTATGCAATAATATTGGTGTATAGATTGACTGTTCCTGGTTCTCTTCTGAAAAATATGTCCTTTGTGAATCAGTATTTTCTGGTTAGCTTTTGAAGCTATCCTCCCCACTATTGGATAATTGGAACATTTAATACAACTACAAAATATATATATATTTTTTATATTTAAAAATATATATTTATAAAAAATTACATAAAAGTTACAAATACGAAATTACACATATCTATTAAATATTTACAAAAATAAAAATATGAATAAATTTAAAATACCCATTATATATGAATACAAAAATATATCTAATATAAAAAATATGAAATGAAAATAAAAATATTCTATCTATTCCATGCCTTTCTGATTGACATACCTATTTTTTCCTATAAATGGATGACTGATTGGGGTTGGAAATTTTGAAGAATTCATTAAGTTTGGGTAGTGTATAAGAACTACTAGTATCTTATAATTATTCTCTTAATAGTTCTCTTATCTTTTTTTTACAGGTTTTTCTTGAGGAAATTAGTGCATCAGCCTATCATTCTCTTCATTCCAAATCTAACCTTCAATCTCGCTCCAGGGCCAATCAACTTTAAATCTTATCTTTGCCTCTGCAGCAGGGAAGAACAACAAACAAGCACATCATGTTAGGGAGTTTGCAATACACTCTCGGCCTACTTCAGTTATGTTAGTACATCAAAGTCTACTGCATTAACGGCAATGCCAAAACATTATCTGTTCTTGAGGCAGCAACCAATTCAATGGCCATTGACCTTGAGAAGGGACCATTTCAAAATATCATTGCCATTTGATCAATTTAATGAGCTTGATGGGTTGCCAAAAGTCCCCAAGTCAAGGAGGTTGGGCTGTCAAGCCAGCCCTGCTCCTATCCTCTCATTTCTGACTTGACCCATGGACTTGAGTCATTATTGTGAAAAATCATAAGCATGACATCTGATCGATAATAGGATTTGATAATGGGTTCCAAATTATAAGGCCCAATGCCAATGAAAGTTTCAGTCATAAAAAAAATGGTTGCAAGAAACTGATCTAGCACAAGGAATGCTCTCATTTCAGATGCAAGAGATTGCCCTCACTGTCTGTAGCCTACAAGATCGCAATTTTAGGCTGGCTAGAGTTATACCACACAAGGTTAACTGGTTATGGATGGATACAAGGAGGAACTTCTGCAACTAATAAAAGTTTCCATAACTCATTGATCCTCACAGCTGCCTAGATATAATAATTTTGATGATAAAAGGGTTAGAGCAGTGTTGTCTTACATATATTAAATATTAAGTTCTTTTTTTATATAATTTTATATTTAAATTGGGCATTTTCACATATTGCGAATTAATTTTAAATTCATATAAGAGTCTACATTTTGTTATATTATTCTTTTTTATTATTTATAGTTGTTATTTTCTAAATTTGTTACGTACTAAATTTTTAACTTCCTATATATGTTATTAAAGCCCTTTAATCTCTTTACAGTGTTGAGCATTAGATCTTTACTAATGCCATAATTGTAGCATTTCTAGCGCAAGAAATTTACCATCAACATTGGTACAGACTAAAAAAAAACATAAATCTTACACTTTAAAATATTCTCACCGAATACAAGATTGGAATTAACCTTCCAATGCCTTGAGGCTCTTGCAGTAACATTGAATAAACTTCTCAAAATGGGACAAAATGAACTTTCAAAATTATATTCTGTATAGATTGACAGCTTAATTCTTTATACAAAAGCTCTTGCTTGCTGAGGGTGGAAAAGAAAGTAACAAACTCAACCCAGTTTCAACAACAGCAAAATGCATTTAGCATTGTTTGGGACTAGCAGAATTAAGTTGATTAAGTATGGTTGTGATTGCAAGGTCCATAGAGCAGAGAATGGCATCCCACGTCTTCACAGGGTTAAAATGGAAGGCATATGCTTTGTACATAGTCTAATATATGTGCATTCAACCAAAATTGGCACGGTTCAATCAACAACGGATCTAAGAATTTTTTTTATTGGAGTGTTCACTTATAACGTATATAAAAAAATATTGATGAATTTACTAATTTTAACGATGGAAAGAGTGTTAAAAAATTTTGGGTATCTATGAACACCATCTATATACGTAAATCCGTTTCTAAATTAAATCATGTTCATCACCAAGCATACATACACAATCTCGTGAAAAGTTAAAAAATAATCTCATAAAATATCGAGTTGAGAGGCAAATAAAAATATTTCCAAAGCACATGAAACAGTAAAAAGGAAATTGAAAATTCCATATGGCAGTGCGTATAAGCATTACGTAAAAGGTCCGTTATATACTGATGTGTAAGTGGTCTAAAAAATGTAAACACAGAAAGGAACCAACATAAGATGATAAAACTCAATCTGTTGTATTCGAAGATCATCACTAAGAAGAAGATCATTTTATTTTAATCGCTCAAAGCTTAATATGCTTGCATTGACATACGCTTTGATAACAAAGGATGGGCACATAATAGAAACAGAATTGACTCCAGCTCTGGGAGATTATCAAAGCAAAAATAATAACTAGTCACAACCTTGAATGCACAACTTTTTCAAAGTTTGGGACAAGAATTCTTCTTAAAATGAAATCAACTTTCAAAGTTCAAATTGAAATCTGTATTAACATATGTGTTAAGGGAAGACAGAAAGATCACTTCAAAGTTCAAACTGATTACATACCAAGAAAGGAAGTTTTGGATGATTTGAGTTTAATCTTCCATGGTAGTAATTGTAAAATACATCACCATTTTTGGAGGGATTTTTGTTTTCCTGGTTTGGAAGATTGTGCCACTGATGGTAGTATCATTGCTATCTTTCATCATTTATCAGTTCAGTTCCGATCAAGGTAGAGAAGTTGATATTAGCCGATCAAGCTGCACAAGGCTATAGTGAATGGTAGTGGCAGCAGAGAAATCAGTGTAGCATTGTCCTTCCAGCCACCTAGATTTGGTGATTGTTGCAAATTCTTTCTATTTGCATTTCTAAACCTCATTTGCTTTTGTAGAACAAAAGCTTCTGCAACTTGAACTGCAACCAACATCAATAATCAAATGAAACCTCCATGAATTTAAAAGATAACATGTATTTAAGTCGATCAAAGCTTAGTATGGTCCATTTCTCTTTCAATTATGTAAATATAGATAACATGTAAATGTCTCAGAGAAAGAATTAACCTCTTATGGCTCTTCATAAAAAGAATTAACCTCTTGTGGCTCTTCATAAACCTTTTCAGTCCTTTTAGGCCAGAAAGCTAAATCCACAGAGAGATCAATAGAGAATTTTAGCTCATGCTTTTAGGTGAAAGGAAGCATTCAATATTCCTGTATTTCCAGAAGCAGGATTAATGGTTTCGAACCTTGATTTACTCATTGTTTAGATTTGATCTATACCTGATCTCTAACTTGAGTTAACCTGCTACTATAATCACTATCTTTTCTTTTTGTCAAATCAGGCTGAGAAACAGATCGAGATGTACAGCAGACAAGGGATTTCTGATCTACCAATCAGAATGGCAAAAACATAGTACTCATTTTCACACAATGCCTCGGAGCAGGGAGCGCCAAGTGTATTTAACTTTACCAACAAGGGATGTGAGAGCCAGCATAGCAACTGGGTTCATTTATCCTTTAGTTGGTACAATAAGCACAATGCCCAGGGCTAACAACAAGGCCTTGCTTCTATGAAATTGATATTGACACTGCCACTGCAAAGTTTATTGGTCTTTCATGAAGCTTTAATTGAAACCTCTCTAGCAGGTGTGACTCCCTAAGGTGTTTGCTGAGGCCTTCTCAAGTGCGCTCATGCAGCAATTGAGCAACAACGCTATCTGTCACAGTTCTTGGAACCTCTGTTGCTTCACTTTTTCCAGTTGTCCTTTGTGCTATTTTAACATAAAGTTGAACACTGCATTTCTAAACTTCATTTGCTTCTGTAGAACAAAAGCTTCTGCAACTTGAACTGCAACCAACATCAATAATCAAATTAAACCTCCATGTATTTAAAAGACAACAAGTATTTAAGTCAATCAGAGCTTAGCATGCTCCATTTCTTTTCAATTATATATATATATATATATATATATATATATAGAAAACATGAAAAGTCTTGGAGAAATAACCTTTTATAGGCCAGAAAGCCAAGTCCACAGAGAGATCCAAGAGAAATTTAGCTCATCCTTATAGGTGAAAGGAGCATTCAATATTCCTGTATTTCAAGAAGCAGCATTAATGGTTTGGAACTTTCATTTACTCACGTTCAAATCAGATGGAACAAAATATTGTTTAGATTTGAACTATACCTGATCTCTAACTTGAGTTAGCCGGCTACTACAATCATTGTGTTTGCAGGTTGTAATTTGTAAACCTTGCACACTGCCCACAAAATCAATTTCAAAACATCAAGATTACTTCAGATACTTTCTTCAAGATTTCAATTTCAGATGCAAATCATAATTATCAGCATCTCCATGCTACCAAAAATCATGAAGCAAGATATCAGTATTTTGTTACCAGCTACCTTTTAAGTGGTTTAACATGCTTGTAACCTGGATATATCATGTCTCCAAACAAAATAGTACCCACTTTTATTGACAGCTTAAAACAATGGCGTGGATTGACTACAAAGAAAAACTCAATCAGGTAAGATGGTTTAGTGGAAAAGCAGAGAAAAAGATTAGGTGTTTCTTTTAATCATTGCATCAATGGTGTCACTTACTAATGCCTAGGTTCAATATCACTGCTGCTACAGTATCTACATTTCTCAGACATTGAGGCACAGGCAGGGAAGCTTCTCCATAAAGCATAAGCTCAATGCATCTGTACAGTTGGTCTGGTAAGAAACAATAAATGTGCTGCATTGCCCGTTCTGTTAAGAAACAGTATCTGTGCTGCACTGCCACTTACCATTTTTTATCTTCTTTAAGTTCCCTGGTTCAAGTGTTATCACAATCTTATAAGAAAAAATAGAAAAAATTAAAGGTTTCACATCAATTTCTTAGAAATTGTAATCTATAGGTTAAACAACATGCAACAAGAACAAATACTCTTTCTTTGAGAAATAATCAAATGATATGAAAACAGAAAAGAGTTTTTAAAATAACTATCAATTAAAGAAATTAATAACAAAGTTTTTTATTTAAGATGCAAATAAGAAGTATTTAGGAATAAAAGACCTGATCAAAGGTTTCAAGAATTAGCAAATTTTTTAATTTTACCATTGTATTAGAAAAAGTATTGTTTCGTTGGTAATTACTATCTTTTCCTCCCATCATCCATTTTCACACCGTTTCAGTATGGAACTAGCTTGTAGACCTTCATTGAGCTCCAATTGGACTGAAATTACTGAAATTGAGGCACAAAAAAGAAGCTATAAATATGTAAACACCTGAACATTAAATAAAAGTAGCTTTTTACTATCTACATTGTCTCGCACATTCCACAACTTCCATGAATGCCTTTAAGCAGAAGATTATCAGTTTCCTTTTTCCTAACTCAAAGTTGGGATGTAGGCTCTAATTAATGTCATTGCATACTACAAAAAGAATGAAAATCAAACTGACAGGAAAGACAGACACCAGACAAAGATCCATGTGACTGGTGGTACAGACTCCTCACATAGCCTGAAAAATGAAAAATGATAATATTGTATAAGTTTCAAAATGGAAGTAAGATGAACGGCAATGTTTTTTGAAATTGGAAATCCATTAGGAAGAAAGTGGAAAAGCTTTTCCAAATTGAAATACCTAACCTTGAGTATAAGCAAAGGATAATGCAAATTTGTAATCCCTCATTCCTCCCTTTACTTTTCAGAGATTAAACAGCTTTCAATTTGACTTCTCTGGATCATAGATGAATATACAATCAATTTCATCTTTGAAAAATATTCCCAAATAAACTGAACCTTTCTATGCCACATGTAACATATGCAAGATTTGGTCACAGGCAATGCAAATTTCTCAAAACTGATTTTTATATGCAATATCATATATAATTGTGGACCGAAATCCTCCTAAAGTTCTAAGTGTTACAACTATTCCACTGCATTTCCAAATTGTCATACCTGGGACATCCTCTAATTGATTTTAGTCATATTCCTCTTGATAACATATGAAATTATCATCAATTTGGAAAAGAGCATGCGGACAATGTTGAACCATTCTTGTTCTTTATCACCTTCCTTTCCACCATTCTGTTAGCAATGTACAATTATAAATATATAAATAATGAAGGTTATTAAAAGTAGTATAAAAGAAAAGAATTAAAAGGATTTTTTTAATTCCATTTTCATTACAATTATGGAAGAAGGTATACACTTATGCCATTTTCTTCTCCATGAGAGGAAATGGTTGTTGTTTTTCCACCTTCAAATAATAGATGAATCTTTTATCAATGTCTTCTTAGGTGATAGGCCATTAATTCCCAATTGAGCACAGAAACTCTGCAAGAACAAATAATGAGGGCCTCTTAAAATGTTGCAGTGATGGATCATAACTCCTAATAATTACATGTCCAATTAGCTATAGAAGAAACTAAAACATGTAAACTTATCCTGAAAATATTGTTAACGTGAAAAATTATTGTTTTAAAAATGACATACCTGGATTTTCTGATTCTTTTCAATAAAATGAAAGATTATACTCGTCCGGAACTCTTGATTAAAGAAGATGAGTTCAAGTTTCAAGATGCAACCAATGTCATTTTCACAACTGCAGCTATGGTCTCGCAGATCATTCAACCTTCCAGACATCCATAGTTGGTAGGTCCTACAAAACCCAAATATAATAAATCATAGTTTAAAAGAAGGATAACAATGGCATGGTTAACTTGACTAGCCTCTACTTTAGTATTTTCAATTCAACCATTAATATGATAAAAACAAGTTTGCTAAGAATTTGTTAACATGTAAAATTACCCCGAAAATATTGTTAACATGAAAAAATTGTTGTTTCAAAAAGGCATACCTGGTTTTTCTATTTCTTTTCAATAAAATGAAAGAAACTTCAGCTATACTTGTCCAGAACTGTGGATCAAAGAAGCTGACTTCAATTTTCAAGACACAACCAAAGCCAACTTCACTACTGCAGCTATGGTCTCACAGATCATTCAACCTTCCAGACATCCATAGTTGGTAGGTCCTGCTAAAACCAAATAGATTAAATCATGGTTTAAAAGAAGGATGACCATGGCATGGTTAACTTGACCAGGCTCAACAAAGAGGTACAGTTAACCTAAGCCTCTACTTTAGCATTTTCAATTCAACAGTTTTTATGATATAAGCAAATTTTCTAATGCTCCAAAAGCTGTAAATATTTGTACTGAACATAGAAAGATACTTGTGTTATCAAAATTGCCAAGTTTTTGCATCAAATGTGTCAATTTAATACCAAAGCATGGATGGTTAGCTAAGAGATTACTTATCCAAAAACATGAAAAAAATTCACAAACCTCTGTGCCATATAAAAACCAGCACCAAGATGACCAATTTGAATTCCCTTTCTGCAACTTCAATCTTTACTGTCAGCAAATAACAAGCATAAGAAATTGAAAGTATCATATTCTGCAAAAAAAAAACCGAAAATCTCAATTTTTTTGGATTAATGTAAAAAAATCAATGGATCACAACCCTAAAAAAATTAAATGTCTGAAGATTAACAAAATAAATTGAAAGTGTTTTCCGTTCTCTTTAGTGTATAAATTTGAATTTGTAAGGAACATTATAATAATAATAAAATTTTGTAGGGGATATGATAAATTTGAAATTGACATACCTGTGACTTTGAGTCACTAACTCTTTTCTTGTCAACTTTGGTGCCCTGAAGAATTATTGTTTGAACCATTATCCTCTGAAACAGAATTAGCTGGAATCATAGATGTATCTGTTATCAATTTTCACACAAGGTATGTGGGCTATCTTGGACCATTCTGGTCCTTTATCCTTTCCACACCGTTCTTCTAGCACTGGACTCTTCTTAATAGATAGCTCCAAAAGCGAAGAAAGCATGTTCTTTTCTGGAAGAGACTGGAGATTTGGGCAAGAATCGATGGCCAAGTACTCCAGAGAGGTGAGGTCTTGAAAGCCTTTGGAGGATAGGGTTTCTAGTTTTGGGAAATTGGCGATGGTGAGACGGGTGAGAGAGCAGGGCAACGTCATTCCTATCTCCTCTTGTGGGAACGACACTGCATCTGGACACCCACTTTTTATGAAGAGAGAGTTAAGAGAAGTGAGTCTATGCAATCCCCACTCAATTAGTGGCTTACAGATGTTGCGTCCTTGGATGGTAAGTTGCCTGAGATTAGTAGGAATGCCCTCTTCTGGGAAGGATGTCAGACTTGGGCAATTTTTTATAGCTAATTCTTCAAGACAGCTGAGGTTGTGTATACCATCTGGCAAAGCTCCGAGTCTTGAATTAACATATAGGCGGAGCACTTTGAGGTTTGAGTAGGTTAAACAACTTTCAGGAAAGGAAACCAAATTTGAACAATTACTTAATAGCATCAACCGGAGATGGCTGAGCTTGTTCAATCCTCGAGGCAAATCCTTAATATTACTACACCTATCGATAAAAATATTCTCAAGAGAAGAGTTATCTTGAATTTCTTGAGCTATGGACTCTAGCTTTTGACAACTGTATATTTTTAGTTGCTTAAGCCTCGTAGGTAACTCCCCTCTTGATGATAAAGATACCAGAGATGGACAAAACTTAATTTCCAACTGCTCAAGAAGACTTGCATTGCTGATGTCAACATTCTCTCCCTCTTCCAACAAACACCGCAACTTTACACAATTTTCAATCTTTAGGCTTTTTAGATTCGAAGGTAAATTGTTCTTTGAAAGAGAAATCAGAGATCGACAATAGTTAATATCCAACTGCTCAAGAAAACATGCATTGCTGAAGTTAACATTCTCTCCCTCTTCCAACAAACACCGTAAATTTTCACAATAAAAAATCCCTAGGCTTTTGAGATTCGAAGGCAAATTGTTGTTTGAAAGAGAAATCAGATTTGGGCAATACCAAAACTCTAACACCCCAAGGGATGAGACGTAATGCAAGGTTGTTGATAGCTTTTCTAACCTTACACAATCCCTTATTGTCAGTTTTTGAATGGTGCAAGGGATCTTCAATTGCATCAATTCTTCTCTTTCCTCCTCTGCCCCTATGGAGACAAGTTGCGACCACTTTCCAATACTCAATTCACCAAGTGACATCGACCGAGTTAGCAATCCCCAACTGTTCTCTTGCAAAGAGCACAATTCCTCACAATCTTCGATCTTAAGGGATTCCACTTTTATTGATCCTAACGTCAACCATTCTGCTGCACAAGTAAATTTAGGAATTCTTGAAAAACAGACTCTTTTTAATGAGCTGTGGTCCACAAAACCTTTATACACTATCTCCTGGCACCCTTGAACATCCAATTCCGAAAGCATTGGAAGGTTTTGAATTGAAATCACCAATTTCTTACAATTCCAAGTCACAAGTTTCTCCAAAGAAAGAAGATTTTCTGGTATACTCCCCAACAGTTCCGGACAATTCACAATACGAAGCTCACGAAGATTAGAAAACTTCTTAGCTTCCTCATTAACTTCACAAAAGTTCCAATTCTCCCATTTAGGCATGTTTTCAAATTCTAAAGTCTCCAATGAAGGAAATGCATTTGATGCATTCTTTCCAAAGAACTCAGCCCCCACACTAGTTACATTGTCCAATCCCTTGATGCATAATTTTTTCAACAATGGCAATTGCCCAATTGATGGCAATGATATGCAATTTGGACAATATTCAAGGCATAATGATAGTAACTTATTGAATGAAGAATCCCCTATCCATACTGCTAACCTCACACCACAATAAAACTTGAGGGCAAGCTCCTTAAGCTTTTTGGAAGGATGAAGTAAATCCAACACTTCTTTCTCGATTTCTCCATTTCTATTCTCAAAGTCTTCGCTCCAAATCAATTCTAACTTATCCAGTCCTAACTTATCATGTAACTTAGCCTTCCATGCATCTTGAGTTTCAACCACATTCTCTAACCCTGAAATACAAAGTTGACCTTTGAGATTTGATAAACCTTCTAGCTCCCTTATTTGACATCCTTTGCCCTTTTGCAAAACAAATTTGGATAGTGTTTCAAGATCACTTAGTGTGCAAAAATTATTTGGCATGCCTTCTAATTTGTTTGCACCTGTGATATCAAGATAACATAGGTTGACCAGGTTTTCCATCTCTGACGGTAGCTTTTCAAGCATCTCACACTCCCTTAATAGAAGGGTTTCTAAATTATAGAGGGTACTTACGGACTCCGGCAAGCATTTAATAGGAGTGCGAGAAAAATCTAGGTACCGTAAATGTTTTAAATCTTCAATAAAATCTGGCAACTTCGAGATTTGATACCCTCTCAAAGAAAGCACCCTTAGGCATCTCAAACTTCGCAACAAATGCATAAGAACATAATTAGTTACGAAGCAGAACTTATAATCTGATAGCCAAAATGACAAAAAAGTGCGTAAATGTTGCGCTTCACTGATGCCCTCAAACTTTTTCTTGCCATCACACTTGCCACCAATGTAAGATAAGTGGCGAGCGTGCTTTGAAATTTTCTGACCACCCTCTATTCTGAAGCATATTTCTCCAGCAACTGATTGAGCCAAATCATTGATGAGGTCATGCATAACAAATCGAGATCTATCTTTGTTTGATATTTGCAAAAGAGACCTTGATACTAGATCTCTAAAATACTTGTGGCCTAGATCTTCAATGCTATGCTTATCTCTAGCTTCTTGTAAAAAGCCTTCTGCCCTCCATAACAAGATCATTTCTCTCTCTTGAAATTCATAGTCCTTAGGAAGAATGGAGCAATATGCAAAGCACTGCTTCAAATGTGGAGGAAGATGATGATAACTCAATTGGAGAGCTGGAAGTATACTACACTGATGGTTTGATAGCTTCCATATCTCACTTTCTAATATGTTTTCCCAAGCATCAAGGTCAACATTAGTACGAAGCAAGCCTCCAAGGGTTTTAGCGGCCAAAGGCAAGCCATTGCACTTCCTCACAATTTTCTCAGCAACTTCTTTTAGATTTGGATGTACTCCAAAATCTTTTGTTCCCAATGCATGTTGAGCAAATACAGACAAACAATCATCTTCTGACAAAACTTGTAAAGAATGAGCAAGAGAAGCACCCATTGTAGATGAAACAGCAAAACTTCTTGTTGTCACGATAATTTTGCTTCCCGGAGTCCTTGTTAGAAAAGGAGATTGTAAAATGGTCCAGTCATGATAGTTCTCGTTCCAGACATCATCCAAAACAATCAAAAAATTTTTCCCTGACAACTCCTTCTTTAATTTTTCTTGAAGCGAATTCAAATCATTGTCATTGCATGGCTTTGAAGTGACTGCTTGGAAAATTGCTTTTGTTATTCTTGTGACATCAAAATCATCAGAAACACAAACCCAAGCTTTGAGATCAAAATGATCGTGAACAGTAGCATCATTATAAACAAGTTGGGCCAGAGTTGTCTTACCGATCCCTCCCATTCCAACGATGGGAATCACAAAATTTCCGTCATCATCACCGTTGAAGACCAATTCAAGTATTGTCTCCTTGTCTTTGTCTCTGCCATACACCTGAGTTTCGATCTCCAGAGAAGTAGGCTGCTGCCTTTCTTTTATTCTGTTGGATTTCGAGCAGTCAATTATTCTCAGTTGCAACTGAGTTTTCCGAGGCTCTAAATCCTTCAATCTGGCAGTAACATCTTTTATCTTTGACATCATGCCCCTGTTAATCAAAACAATGTTGAATGTATCAGAAATGAGTCTGGGTTTCTTACTTGAGCTGCCACGACGTTCCAACATCAAATTGCGCCTGGTAATTTCGGTTTCAAGCTCGTCCACAATGTCATCCACATCGTATGCCACGTTTTGGAGGTCTGACAACCAGATTTTCACAGATTGATCTTTGATCTGCCTCTCCTCAGCATCATCAAGCAGCGCACGAATCTCCAGCAATTCCTTCTTCAACTTCTCGAGCTCTTCTTGAATCTGTTTTTCAGTGGCAAATTGCAGGAATTCAGAAGAACCCAACTTGTCTAGGAGATAGTCAAAGAACTTGGAGACAACAACTTCTCGTATGGCGGACAAGGCTCCAAGCAAAGACATGGTTGGATTACGTTGTTGAAAGAAATTAGAGGAAGAAATGAGAGTAGAGAAAATGAGAAAAGAGTTTGAGATAGCTAAAAGATGTGTTTAATAGTAATCATTCAAGAAATTAAAAAAAAAGAATGAGAAGAGGAACGATCCAACAAGCTTCCCCTTGAATTTTACTGCCGGACAATAGCGATATTAACAATGGCGGTAATAACGACAATTTGAAAAGGGTGTAAAAATAAATTAATGGAAATTGGACTTTATATATTTTAAAAGCAAATTGCATCCAACAGAGGAAGGTCACTCGCATCTTTCCTTGAGATAATTGGCGCGCCTCTAACTCTAGTAGTAATTATTTAATGTTTAAGCAAATTGCTTGGAACATGAAAACCTTTTATTTGTAATTAAAATAATAATGTGATCCCCATCTTGTAAATTAGAAATGTTGTGAAAATATATCTGACATTCACAAACCATCTAAAAACAAACCTCTCACAATCCAAAATGAATAAATAAATAAATAAATAAACAATCCAAAAAAATTAAAATGTAACGAAGTTAGCAATGTAAATGAATAGAAGCTTCCACAAATTATTGGTGTACCACCTTGATTTTTATTAATTTATTTATTTTTATTAAATTTAATAAATAATTACGAATAATATTTAAAATTTTGTTAATTAAATAAATAAATTACGAACATAACAAATTTTATTTACGTCTATTCGTATGCAACTCTTTATTTTCCTCGCAGAATAATAATAATAATAATAATAATAAGCGAAAGAAAATGAATGAATAAAAAATTTAATTCACTCAACCGAACCTTCAATTCTCTTTTTATTTTTCTTTCTTTTCCCTTTCCCTCCCCTCCATTTCTCTCTCTTATTTGCTATCCTTTAAATCAGACATGATAAAGATCCTAATTTTATGTTTATGATGTAACAGTAACACGATCTTTTCTTTACAAAACATTATCAAAAGTTAAAACAAATTTGTGCTGGACTGCCCTATGAATGGTGAAGTAGGACGGCAGAGCTGATTGGGAGTGCTGAACATTTGCTTCTGATATCTGCACAAAGTTTGTATTTCACCATAGTTGGCTACTTCATGCTTTTTTCCATTGAAACCCTTTTTTGATGCTTTTTGCCTGAGGCTGAGGATGTCAAAAGCTTCCCTTCTTCCTTTCATTTTATTCTTCCTGTCAAATGAATCAAATCTAACTCAACCCTTCATCGAAACAGCAAAAATGGAGCAAAGATTTTCTATAAACACCAGGGATCAAGGGCATTTCCTTTGAGAATATCCATGTTTCACCACCAACCATGTGCACAGTTCAGTCCATCTCCAGGCATCAAGGTGTAAGTAAAAACAAACAGTCAAGGTCACACAAGCAATTCGTAAGTTCAAATGATAGAATTTCGGTTTCAACTTATGTTCAATATTGTCATAATTCAACATGCAACATAATTAGATTAACTATCATATAATAATAGATACTATACTATAGCCTAGCTAATTTTATGTCCAGACAGAGAACTGAAAGTGAACCATGGATTAGACATTAGAAGCATCTCTAAGAAACTAAAAAACTTCGATCTATAGCTATCTATCCATAAAATTAGCAGGCTACCGTTAAACCAGTATAGCAAGAAAAAACATAAACTGCTCGTGTGGAAAAAGAGGGCAGTTCATATTAGGATCTGTGCAAGTAGAGTTTTTAAACCAAATCTAAAGCAAGGGCTAGCGTGCATGGGACCAATTTACTTGACCATACAGCATTGGGTCTACAAGCTGTGCTAGTGTATCAAATATCAGCAAGTGTTATTATATGCTCACAAACAGCACAGGTTCCAAACAATATAACCATCAGGCGTATCATGGGAATTTAGTTCTTCAGGTGAATACAAGACAAGAAAACTTCACCCTGAGCTAAAGATGCCTTCACCAGATATTATTAGCGTACTTTAAAATGGCCTGAGAATTCTCATACCATCACTAAACAGAGAAGTTGAACTTCGAAGAGAAAAAGTTTCAGTGTTTGGCACCATGGAACGTTGCAAACGACTCTATCTTATTGTTTGTGAATTTGAAACATTGCGATAAAAGGTAACATGTAAAAACATGAAAAAGCATAGAAAATGTTTACATGGATATCATCTCCACTTTGTGCAGTTCCAAATATAGTTCTCATTTTAATTTGTACTCCACGGGTCAAAAGCTCACAAATCACACGCACTAAAAGATATGGCCTAAAAAATTCTTCCATGTGTTAATGATATGAACATTATTCAAGTAAAATCAAACTAGGCAAAAATTGGGTAATGAAGCATACCATGACAATCAATACCAGCACCCATTTTTACTGCTTTGTCTGGATGGTGAGTAAAAACATTATCAAGTACAAACAACTGATCACCAGCTGACTGCGGATCCCCATCGTTGACCTTCACATAAGAATCTATTGAGAAAACGGGGGTAAGATAAAAACATGCAGAGAGGAGCAGAAACTATCAACAGCAGAGCTCGGGGATGGGAAATAGAAAGAGATTAAGTAGTAGCATAATTAGGCACCAAGGATAAATGTAGGCTAAGTTATTGGGAGCATCTGCTCTGTAACATTTGCATCTAACAAAACTTGAGCAAATCCTATCGCTTAAAAGAATCATGAAAAATTCTACACGAACTGGTTGCCAAAGATTGTTTGTGCAAATTTCTCAGATCTTCAAAGCTGGATGAGTATCTAATTAACCAAAATTTCCTGACTCATGATCCATGTCACAACTGGAGGGGTACAAATATCAACACAAAGAAATTGCTTCCTACTTGTGAGGCAATTAAAAACCTATATTGCCATAGAAATTGAAGAGCAAGCGTAGGGTATCAAATTTACTAGTGTTTCCTTACTCATGCAGATCCATGTCAACTGGACAGGGGGAAAGTAACAACATAAAGAAATTCCTTTCTCTTTGCGAGGTAATTAAAAACCTATATTTTCATAGAAATTCTAGAGCAAAAGTTAGAGAATATTTACCCAGACTGGTGCACTATTTTTCTGATTGACTGCATCAGTGGCTCAACATCCACCAGAATATTTTGCTCCTCAGAAGTAAACATGTCTAATCTTTGTCTTGTAGCGGTATACATTGCAGCCATATTGGAATCATCATTCATCGCTTGAGCTGACTTCACAGGACGATTCTTCTTACTAGCATCTGAAGCCCAACGACATGGGCCCCTAGACTGTCCCCACTGGTGCTGGTTTTCACTTTGAGTGCCAACCTCACCATGTGACATATCCCAGCCATTTGAACTTGCTGCTTGGTTTGACTCGTTAAGGGAGCCCCAACCTTGTGAACATTCTGGTGACTTTTGTTGATCGCAAGAACTACTCATTATAGGTGACTTCTGTTGGTCCCAGGAACTATTAATTATAGGTGACTCATTCTTAGTCCAGCCTGCAGCAGTTGAAGATACCCAACCGGATGTCGAATGAACTGGCTTTTCCTGAGTAGCTTTTTTATCCCAGCCAGATGTCGATTGAACTGCCCTTTCCTCAGTCACTTTGTTATTCCAACCAGATGTCGACTGCACTGCCTTTTGTTGACTTGCTTCGTTATCCCATTCACTTTCCTCTCTTCCTTGGTCCATCTGGGTATCATTTCCACTGAAGCCAGATACATTTACCACCACAATCTTCTCCCCCAAGAAGAAACATTTTCCCAGCCACTCGATTTGGAAGATTCGTCCAAGGTTTGTGTCTCCCAAACTGGCCATGGCAGTGCATCACTAGCATCAGGTTTTTCAGATTCTTTGCCCACTTTTCCCCAACTAGTTCCAGCATCCCAACCATTGGACTTGAAAGATTTATCTTCCATAGGGAGAACATCTTGCGTATCAGACTTTTGCACTCCCAAACCAGAAAATTCAGTTTACTCTTTCATACAATCCACCAACTGGAGAGAGACCATCTTGTGATTTAGATTTGCTTGTTCCCCAATCAGACCACTCAGTTTGCTTCTTTGAACTGGTCACAGGTGCTGCATTTTTGTCACCATCCTCAGCCTTTTTATTCCATGCAGACAAAGTATCCCAACCAACATGGGACCCTTTGTCTGAAGACACAACTTTTTCCCAATTTAACTCTGCCTCATTGAACTAAGTCGAAGAAGTTAAGCTTGTACTCTGCCTCATTCCCATGTAGCTGAGTTGCTTAACGTTTTGTGTTATGCTAGCTCAATTACAAACCTTTTTCGTCCAGCAAGCCAGCACAATGGTCAGATCAATCGGATCCAATTACCAAGTTCCTCCGGCTGCAATCCAATGCATTGTAGGTCTCATAGTCCTCATCATTGTCCCAACATATGATCGGATTCCGTCCCCATAACTCGAAAAAAATCCGGACATCCTACTGGAATAGCAATGCTACAAAGAATAGGCTTTGGTTTATTTGTCTCTATACTTACCATGGTTTTTGCAAGCCTAGTGGAGATCAAAAGGATCACCATTGCAACAAAACATGGTCTTGTTGACAACCCGAAAGCTATAGTTCCGATGGGTGTGTGATGGTTACTTCCCCAATACGAGCTTATCGGAATTGGAGATGTGTTCACCATCATCGGAGATGCCATAAGGAATGAGAAGCTTGGGAGCTGCTGCATATGTAAGTATAGTTGGAGTTGGGAGTTTCATCAACAATGCTATTATCTCTATTGTGCAAAAGATTAGCTTGAGGAATGAAAATGTATGGGTGGGAAATAACCTTAACCATGGACACCTTAATTACTTCTATTGGGTGTTGGCATGGTTGAGTGCCATAAATTTTTGTGTTTATTTGTGGATTGCTAGTAGGTTTGTGTACAAAAGGTGTCAAAGTGATGAAAGAAGAGATGGGGGGGGGAGTTGGAAATAGGAGGCTTTTCAGATAAAAAAGTATGAAAAGGTTATACAAACTAAAAATATATTTACATCTTAGATACAATCTTGTACAAGAAAGTAAGAGTACTTCCAAAGGTTTATATGTAAAAGTAATTCACGATAATCATATGATTTGTTAGGTAGAATGTTAAATTTTTAATTTTAGTACCTATTTAAGATTTAAATTTTGACGATATTAAGTATCAAAATTGTAAAAATAATTATTTTTCTATTAGGTTATGGCATATAGATGTAGGTATATATGTATATGAAAATATTCCTCCCCAATATCAACTCCAATGTAATTTGAGGGACTTGTGAGGGACATAAGTACCATATACAATTCAATATATTATACTTCTTTTTCACATGAAAAAGTTGTTAAATTAGTTCATTAATTGAGTTTATATTTGATATATTGATATATATAAATGCTATATATTATAGTAAATCATACAACATTAAATAAAAAATTAATTTTAAAATTTTAAAATTCTAAAAAATAAATACAATTAACTTTAAAAAAATATTTAAAATTAATTTTTTATAAAATATAATTATGTGATTTAATAACAATATATAATATTTATATACTGATAATACATCAAATATTAATTTTTTATTAATATTAATGTAATTGTAAAAGAAAAATATTACATCTATCTACTCAAGTCAACATGTTCAACTCCTCAAATCACTAGAGTAAGGTAATGTCACGTCATCTACATCCAAGAACTAGCTCACCTCTCACTATGAAAAGGCTCGTCCAATGTTTCCATTGATCCCATCAAAATATTATATCATATCATTCAATTTTTTAAAATCATTAAATAAGAATTACGTCTACGTTAAATTATTTAATGTGATTTATAATTACTCATGTGAATCATTTTTATATTTTACATGTATCTCTTATCAATTATTAATTATTTCGATCAAATTATTATTCATTATTTTTTATGTAAGGTAAAGAAGAGTTCAAGTATGTAAGAGAGAACCCTTCATGCATAAGCTTTTCTTACTTTTAAACTTCTTACACACACCTAACATCCTTTCTTCCTTTACCTTACATTTTTCATTGATTTGAGTATCAGTACGCATTCCAAAAAGACAACTCCAGCGTTGTTTTTTGGCTGCAGGTCATCACTAACTCACCCCCAACCTCTCTTCATCAACTCTCTCGAGGTAAGATAATAAAACACCATCAACGAAAAATATTATATCAAGTTATATTCAAAAATCAAGATTTTTCATTTTTCTTCTTCCATAACTAGCTATATATTCAATTTATGAGTTTTTCTTTTCAAGTAATCGTAATATAGAATTTCATCTTCTACTAAAATCAAATAATATCCTGTGATCCTATTAATTTCTATTTCAATTTCCATCTTAAAGATGCATGTTCAGAACTATTATATTTGTTTTTTTATCCATCATCAGTAGCAACTTAGATATTTGGCCAAAAAAAAAATTATTAATTACAATTATTGGAATTGGAGCTCTCAATTTATTAATTATCAATTTTTAAAAATAATTATACGAACTAATTAAATTAAATTAATTTTTTTTTTTATCTTTTTATTCAATACATATGAGAAAACCGAAAAAAAAAAAAAAATTTTAAAAATCAAAAGTAAGGGTTACCAAACATATGCATAACAATCAATATAAGATAGTTTTATTCCAGTTTATTCTAAACTTCACAGAGAAATCAATGTTCTAAACCAACGTTTGATACTAATAAGCACATGCATTTCCTGTTCAGGATATAGGTACCAATTTATCCTTCTCCAAATAAAACAACGAAATAAAATAAATCACTGGAAATTCTCATCTCCAATTATTTTCTTTCCCTTTCATTCAGTGTTTCACAGCAACCAAACACTCCTATGCTTTGCAAAATGCACAACCGTGCGCCAATAAAGGGAAAAAGAAAGAAAAAAATTGGTTATATGAAATGGTAAATTAGCATTGATCTTAATGATAAGCGCAAGCCAAATTTGTTTGTCAATACAAAACTGGGTTCATTCCATACAAATCATTGAAAGCTACACACTAAAATTTTGGTAATGAAGGAACTACGATATTCAAGCTAATTCATCTTGCTGATTAGGTCATTGATTTCGTCTTCACGATTACCAGCATCTCCTCCTTCTTTGTAAGGCTGTTTCTTCCCTCGGATTAATCCATCTTCTGGCTTGCTCAGCATAAGGGGTCCGATAAAATGAATAACCTCCTTGAAATGTGGACCAACATTTGCGATTTCATGTACAATATCTTCAATGCATATGATGCCATACTTTCCCAATGTCTGAAAAAGAATGGAGTTTTAATTGCAAACATTATGAACCTTTGGACAAAGTTAAACTGAGAACTTCTTCTTGAGACGTGGTAAAGACAAGGCATAAGTATAAAAAGAAACCCTGAACAAAAATTAATTAATAATCCAAACCCTTATCATTTTGTTGCAATCAATTAAGCCCTCAAACATTTATTTTCACCAATTGAACCCTTAATAGACGAAAATTGATTGACAGCAAACACTCATTTCTATCCAATCAAGGGTTTAATTGGGTGAAAATAGATGTTTAAAGGTTCAATTGGATAAAAATAAATATTTAAGGGCTCAATTGGATGAAAATAAATGTTTGAGGGTTCAATTCATTGAATGAGAAGGGTATGGATAATCATTTAATTTTTGTTAAAGGGCTTTTCTTTATACTTAAGCCTTAAGACCACAATGATACCTGTTCAATGATATTATTATCTGTCAAAGGAACAGCTTTCTTGTCAATCTTTGCATAACCCTTCTTGTAAATCAGCTCCTTCACATTCTTAAGATTAGGATATCTGCATAAAACAATCTTAGCACTATAAATAATGTTCTTAGACGTAACAGTAAGTTAAAGAAACAAAAATAAAAGAATTCTAACTGAATCTGCAAGTTCAAGCCAGTGGAAAACTAATATAATCTTTATTAGTAACCAGAGATTATACTTCTTGAAGGTCGGACAATATGCCTACAACCATTATAAAACTTTTAACAAGTCTCCAAAGCCAAGCCTGTTTGATGCATAACTGCCAATAGTTGCAAAAATCACAAATGCCAAATATATTCAAGATCATTTGCATGAAATATGCAAATTATGGAGGATAATCTGACAATTTTTTCCAGCATAAGCAATGATTACAATGCATTAATAGCAGCTGCATCTGATTGCTGCTTGGCACTTTGAAGAATGGGATTTCATTTTCTAGTTGTAAAGAGAGAAAAAATAAATAAATAAAGATCTAATATAAGTGAGGGAGGTGGAAGAAAGAAAGAGTCAATAAGAAAAAGGTAATTAGGCAACCCTAAAATAATATATATAAATATATAGCAAGGGTATTTTAGTAAATATATTGGGTTGGAGGAGGATGGTTTTCACTTAAAACTGCCTCCAAACCAACCCTGTCTTTTTAAACAAAAACCAATCCAATCCAACCTGAGCCCAATTTTCAAAAACAAAAAGGTCAGAACCCAACGATTTTGGGTTTTTTGCAGACCCTACGCACACACTAGAAGATGAAAATCATCAACACACATGGAGTATCTCCATACAATTTATATGTGTTAGCACCTCATTAGATTCAGCATTTTACATTTACCAGGAAAAAAAAAAAAAGAATTCCAAAGGAACAAAGGTTGCTTTCATACCCATATGTGACATATGGCTCCACCTTCTGCAGCATTTCTATTACACCCTCCGTTGCCTTCACAAAGACACCACTGAAAACTTTCCTCAATCTCAGATTGTATAAGATCTTCCTAGTTTTTGGATGCATGTCATTTTTTCTGCAAATAAAAAATTAAAAAAAAATCAAAGCTGGAAAAATTAGAAGCAAAGATATTGAATAAGATAAAGGGCAAAAAGGTCACCTACCCTTGTATACGGATAATGAAAAGCAACTGTGATCTTGGTTTTGGCATCATTGATGTTGGTCTCTTTGCTCGCTGTTTCATTCTGATCAGGTCCAATTCCTAAACCCCAAAAAGTAGATTTAAGATAACCTTATTTTCCTTTTGATGTGGTACAACTACTATGGGTGTACAGTGCTCAGCTGGATGTCAGTTGAGCTTTTAATTCTTAACCTTAAGCTCAGCTCAGAACAATAATCAAACTACACAGACTTAATTAGGCTCAAATTCAATTACCATTACTCAAATAAGGAACTTGAAACTCAGATTCAAGCTTGACTTCAAGACAAATAGAGTCTGAAAACATGAAAATAAATACTAAATCATACTTAACAAGGATATTTTATAAAAACTTCATTGAATTCGTGAGTTGCTCGAGCCAAGTATTAAAATACTCAAACCCGACTCAACTTGTCAATCTAGCTACTTGATAATGAGCTCTGTCTCCACCCTGACAATGAACAAGTCTGAGTTCAAGTATTCAGACAGTAGTTTCACTCATTTATGGTATCCATAGTTACAATATAATGCGATGGACTCCATAAACAGAACAAACAAGGCAGTAAATGTAATCAAAACAAAAATGCATTGAGTCAACAGGAAAAACCCATTTCAAAAAGTAGTAAATTTGATCTAAAGATTGATTCTTTAGTAAAAATTGCCTTGTCTCTAAACTCTTTTATGAACTGCTCGGGTCTTTTGATGTCAGAAACATCGGATTGCTTCTTGCTTTTCTTGGCTCCATATTTACCCAACTCCAACTGGGTCTTCCTCGTAATCGCCAACTCATCTTTAATTTTTCTTTTCTTCAATACTATCTCTGATACATAGGGCAATGGCTGTCCTTCCTCTTCGGCCATTATCTTTCTGTTTCATATAATAAAAAAGATAAAAGAAATTTACCCAATCCAAGTTGACTGAAAAAATAGCAATAAAATAGAAAAAAACTAAAATTCACCCACAAATTGCTTCGAAATACGGTGGCGCCAAAGAAGGGCAACAGCGGCGGCGAGATTTGAGAGCTTGGGAGCTGAGGAGCGGCGACAGAATATGACAGTGATGCAATGGGAAAAAAATAATTAGGTTTTTAATATATATAAGAGGGTGTAAAAGATAAGTAGTAGAAGATTTAAGGGCATTTTGGTAATTATGTTGTCGGGGCAATGGTAGAGGTGGGTATGAACAAATTCTTACCCGCCCCGACCGGATTTTATTTTGGTGAAATTGATGTCGCTAAAAAATAATAAAATTATATATTTTGAAATATATATTAGATTTAAAACTAAGTTAGATATATTACATTTTCAAAAAATTCAATATTCAATATATTTTGTGAGTGGGATTTTATGAGTAAAATTTATATATTTTGTGGCTTTTTAAGAGTTAAAGCTCAATTATTAAAATAGTTCGAGTAAATCTCTTATAAATACATGAATAAAATTTATTGATTATTATATTGAAACATTAACTATAATTTTAAAAATAATTAATTAATTCTATTACCATCATTGTAAGTGAAATTATTTACTTTTTCAAACTTTATGAACTTTAATCATGTAATATTTAAAAAATCGATTAAAAATATAATTGATCGAAATTGAATTGATATAATATTAAGTTCGAGCTCGATTTGAAATTTAAGATTAGAAATTTGATTCAAATTCGATCAAATTTTATTTTTTTAATTCGAATTCGACTCGTAATAAAAATCGAATTACTCAAGTTCACTCAATTAGACTGAAATAATATGTAAAAATAAGTTTGATTTTTATATTTGATAAAAGCTCGATTATTTGTATTCGAGTTTGAAATATTTTATTAATTGAAATAATAAAAATATATTTTAATATAAAAATTCGATTAAGTTCACGAGTTATTTGAGTCGAGTATAAAAATATTCAAATTTGATTCGATCAATGAATAAAATTATTCAAATTCGAATTTGACTCGATAATAATCGAATCAAATTTAAGTTTTATTCAAATTAAATTTGACTAATATATTATTTATATTTCTTAGGACCAATATTCAAAATTGAGTAATGATCTTGTGCTTCTCATCGCAAGTTTCAGTATTCTATTTTTCACTATATATGTGTTGCAAGTGGATGATTTAATACTTGAATGTCACTAATTAATAAAAAAAAATTATATACATGTTTTAGAGAAAGAAATGAAATTATTAACAAATAAAAAAATAAATTAATTTTGTCTTTTTTTTAACCTTTTATTCAAGATATTAAATAAAATTGTGTGTGTATATATATATATATATAACAAATACCATATCAAATGTATTATTATATCTAAAAAAAATTCTTTTAAAAATTTTTTTTGTCATGAATTTAATAAGTTTAAATCTTATAAAAATGAATAAAAAGTGCATAGTAAAAGATTCCAAAATAAGTGAAAAAGTTATATATATATATTAAAAATTAATATCAATCTTCAAAATTATTTAAATTTGGATGTAAAAGATATATAGACGAAATTAATAAATTTCTCTTAATTAAAAGGAACTGCTATGGCTCTAAAAAATAAAAATAAAACCCATATAAGTATAGAAAATAGCCTAATATTATCCTATTCAACTTACTATTAGATATTCAAATACAATTATGTTTTACTTAATCCCAATCAATTTCACTATCTAAAAAATATTTCGGAATCTCATCCCAAGCTTCCTTTGCAGTTTCTATTTTGGTAACGCCAAACAAATATTCTTGTGATAAAGAAGTTAAAATGGCGTGTAACAACAGCTGGTCCTGGCGGTGCCACAGCACATACGCTGGATTGCTCACACGTTGGTTGTCCCGAATGACAGTTGCAGGAGGACTTGGCTTAGAGCCATCGACATAGCCAATAAGATCAAAGCCACGAAGGAGAGCCTCGAATTGTGCCCGCCAACCACGTCTGTTCTTTGATGTTAGTTCCTCCGATCGTTGAGCAGCGGCACTGATGTATATCAGGCCATTGTCTAAGGGTGGGGCGTCAGGGATGTTAAAGATTCGAGTTGCAGACGTTTTATCTGCCATTGACAGACCCAAGAGGATGAATGGACCCAAGTTATTAAAAACCTTTTTCAATGTGATGATAAGCCGAAGCTTTCATCAGAATATATATAAGATTCAGGGTAAGAATATATACAATTTATTAAGGAATCCTTGATTTTTGTGATTACATAAATTGTCAAATTTAATTTTCATGAATAAATTCAAAAGTAAGATCTAACCAATCCACAAGTTAACCGATTCATAGATAGGATAATATAATCAAATCAATGGATAAGATATTATAATCAAATCAATAATTATTGTGCATCAGTGGGATAATAGTATTTTGCTTTCCTAGTTAAACAAGCTTGAACACAATGACCGACAATGGATGAAATAATATTTCGTTACTATTTCCCAGAGTTAAATTATACACCAAAAAATGACCTACTACAACCTAAAGCATATACAAGCTACACAAATCACCCTAATTGAACTCTGGGAATTAGTGGCATATTCAGGGATGTATTAATACGCCTACAAAATGAGGATGATTAATTTCAGCATGTTTTGCCAAGGTGTCTGCTGCAAAACTCTGCTTCATTCTAACAAAAATTCATTCCAATGTTTCTAAGTACAGTTGCAATGAATTTTGCTACTGTATCTGCTACTAAATTTGCTTCTTTGCACCAAAAGACGGATTCATGTCCAACAAAAGAACTTTTGTCGATGCACTGAGTAGGCAAAAGCGGCATTAAACTTGTAGAACCGTCATGGCAAACACAATCAAATCATGTCCTGCAGTTGAACTGAGGCTGATAGTCATGCAATTAAAAGGTGCCCTACCCTTTTTGAAGAACAGCCCTGTATGTAGTTGAAGCCACAAAAATGAGTTCAAACATGTTTCCTCTCCCGCAATATTTAAGAACATCTCCTAAAGGTTGAGACAGCAAAATTTTCTAGATTAATATGGAATGAAAGCTTTGCAAAACTGAATGAAGCATTAATTTCTTTTAATTTGAATTGACACACACAGTTGTTTCAAGTAATAGCAGCAATATAAACCAAGAAAATCAAAGGTTGAAACTGCAAAATAAAATAATATTAGTGTACAGACCTTATGACACTGAGTTTCTACGCACAAAGCTAAGTCGAGCCAAATAATTGCTCTCAGCAAAATCATGTAGTGTCCGACAAGTACGTGAACCTTCACGGTCAGGTTTCTGAGACTCTTCTTTCAAAAATTTCCTACATGCATCGGCATCCTGAAAAGAAGAGAATGAGAGGAGGGGGGGGGAGGAGGGGTTTGTTAAAGATTGAACTGAATTCAGGACATTTTAAGAATTAACTAAGAAAGAGGAATGCACATACATAAAACTCAAGATCCTGCAAAAGACAAAAAGACATGATCCTCCAGATTAAAATTTCAAAACAACAGAAAATATAAGTGGCCAGTGAAATCAATTGAACAACATCCCCACAACTAATAAAAGTGCCCTGGACTCTCTCTCTCTCTGTTGCACCCACCACCCACACACAGAGGTCAGCTTAGCTGGGGCCCGAAGTAAGTATTTACTATAATCAGATTCTCATGCTGCAACTGTATGGTGCACAATTATATTGTGGAATTTATCAAGTCATTGTCTTGAAGATGAGTTAGGGCAAGAGGCAAACCTGTAAGAATTCCAGCATTTGCTCTTCAATTGTAGCACGCATGGCCAAAGTTTCAACATGGATTGGACGAGTAGCACCCATCCTATGAGCACGGCTAATGACTTGTTCCTCCATGCTGATAGGGTTTCAGCCAGTAAACAATGCCATCAGTAAATATTAGTCTTTTTTTAAAAAAAAAAATAAAAGAATGGAAGTAAAAGGTGTGGCTCAATGGTAAAACATATTTCCAAGTGATTTTCCAACCAGAAGATCAGGAGGGCTCAAGCTTGCAACACTGGATGGTGAAGCACAAGAGCCATGCCCATTAATCTTTAGCCATCAATTTCCATTCTACTGACCTTAATGAGGATGGGGACAGACTATGGCTCAGTGTGGCATAGTATAAAGCATACTTCCAAGTGGTTTGATAGCCAGATGGTCAAGGTTTGAGCCATACAACAGTGGATGGTAGGATACAAGACCAGTTTCTCAGTGAGGTAGGGATCAAGCTGTAGCTTAACCCCTTGACAGAGCACTTATGGCCTTAGCAGCAGGCCACAAGCTTCCATCTTCTGCAGGCTTTCTGTCTAAAGGCTAGTTGGTGGTAATGGTCATGCCCATGATGGATGGATGCACCAAACCACACCTTGTGGCCCTTTTTTTCTTGAAATAATAAAAAATGGGGCAAATAGTATTTTGTCTGGAGAAAAAACTAATGCATAAGCTCTAACGTCGGATCTGAGTATTGGAAAACTAATGCTCTCATCTTTCATTTGAAAATAAAGCAACATTAGCTGTACAGAACCTTTAGCAGGGAACTTATGAAACAAAATTACCTTCTATTTTAGAATTTTATTTTTCTTTGCAAAGAGAGAAACCCAAAAAATTTTGAGGATAGGAGTTAGCTAAAATTACCTTCTGTCCCAGATTGGCTCCATTAAAAATACATGAGTAACAAAACTCAAATCAAGACCCAATGCAGCACTCCCATCCATCAAGAGAGCCATGCAGCTATCATCATATTGGAACATGGCCAGCGACTTCATCTGAATACGTGGAAATATATTAACTCAAGGATTGCATGAACAGGAAAGCAAAATAGAAGTTACAAAAAGGATAAGAGAAGAAAAGTACCTTTTTGCTAGAATGCATTGGAGTATACATTCCAGCAAACTTGATACCAGCAAAAGTCAGCTACCAGAAGAAAAAGGTTATCCATCTATCATTTGTAAAAGGAAAATGACAAAAGGGCACTAATGCCAATTTAAAGGTAAATTATAGCTACCTGCTGCTCAATAACGTGTATATGCTCAAGAAATTGAGAAAATATTAAAACTTTCTCTGGAAGTGTCTTGTATGACTTGTTGTCCAGGATAGAGCAATTCTGCAGCAAAGGCACATCCATATCACCCCTCCGTGAAGGCCAAAGTAGCTTGTCAACGAGCTTGGCATCACTGTCTTCATTCCTAAAGCAATGGATCTCTTTATTAACCTCCCGCAACGCCTTCAGCCTCTCCACAAGATAAGCAACTTTACTGCTAGAGGTTGATTGCCAATCAGGATTCCAGTCATCCTAAGAACCACAAAAAGTGTGTATTTCTAATGATGCATATAGCTTGAAAATTAGAAAGCAAAATAATTAAACCAAGAACAAACCTACCTGTTTATATGAAGGTTGTAACTCAATAAGATCTTTTGGGACAGGCCACTTGGGATTTGGATTTTCCGGGCGCGCTAATGTTTCAGGAGTCTGCATCTCATACAAGTTACCACAGCCAGGTAAAGTACACATTTTGCAGTCCAAAGCAACGCAATCAAGGCACAAAAGATGCCTACATGGGGTGACAACTGGTAGACGGCACCATTCATTGCATCTATATCAGAAAACAAAGACATAAACATTTAGTCTGACTGAATGCTAGCAAAAGGCTGAAACAAAAGCCACAAAGAAACTCAAAAGCAAATTTTACCTCTGACAATTACCACCATAAAGGAGGTTATATTTAATAAAATCATATTCTTCTGAGATTTGATCCAGACCATTTTCAACCAAAATATCCATTGTTTCTTGAATATCTTCACCAGCATCTGTTACTTTTATATGCCCAGCCACACAACAAGACAGCCTAACATTTCTAATTGTTGTACTTCGAAATTTCCACTGCTTTGGATTTAACAAGCTTTCAACGTGAGAAGGATCATTCCAGTCAGCCATTAGAATATTGCGCCGCACTGTAACTACCAATTCATTATAACTTCTTGCATGTTCATCAGTGAAATTAACAAATGTCACCTTCTTAATGCATGGAGGAATAGTTCTTAAATCTATCTTTCTTGCACTAATCATGCATCTATGGAGTAATTGCAGTAATCGTGACCGACCCTCTTCCATCTTAGCTTCAAATGGTTTAAGAATGCCAGCTTCCCATGACTTTTGGTTCTGACCATAAGCTTCCTCATGAAGAAACTTGAGTAATGGTTGAAGATGTGACAGTTGACTATTGGGTGTGTTAGGAGTGGGGGTTCCAGTCAGTAACCAACGATTAGAAGCAGTCAATGAAATAGCCATTTGCAATTTGTTGGTTAAATTAAGACTTGAGCCAAGGGTGTGCCCTTCATCTAAGATAACCCTAAGCCAATGCACTTGCATCAGTACACTTCTCTTACGAGGACCCCATTCTGCACTTAAACGGTTAAAGGTAGTGATAACAATGTCATAGTCCCAAGCCAGACTGTGAACAAGAGGCTTTCTATGATCAGTCCAGACATAAAGCTGCAGCTGGCCAGGCCTTACATGTTTCTGGATTTGTGTTTTCCAGTGATCAACTAGGTTTGATGGAACAACAACTAATGTTGCTCTTGACAAATATAACCTGACAGAATCTAAAGGCTCACAGAGAGCAATTCTGAGAGCAGCCAAATCAAATGCCAAGTTCTCAAGAGTCTGTGGATAATACCACCTACTAATTCCCTTTTCAACCCTCTTTATAAGACCTAATGCTTGAAATATCTTATGGAAACCAAGTGCATCTCCAGCAACACCAGTGCCTAATATCGGACTTGACAAACCAACTGTCTCCATTTCAGAGAGCCTTACTGGAGAAAGTTTAGCTAACCAAAGTAAGGCTTTCTTTGTTTTAGAATTAATCAGAGCATAGTGCTCCTTGAGAACACTGATGAAAAATGACACATTTTCCTCCTTTCCACCAGCTGTTCCTTTGGTGAAAAATCCCGGCAGGTATGTTATAGATTGATGATTATCCCATGCTTCTTCTGGATCAGTACAGCTCTGATGTGCAGGGTCAGTGTTCATGCTACAAAACCATGCTACCTTAGCATCAGCTATACTTGAGTCTGCAAGTTTCCTCCATTTGTGACAGGCATCACACTGAACCCAAGTTTCATTGCACGCAGTACCTTTCCCAGGTCTCATGCAACCATCAAACACTCCATAGGATAAATTAACTTGCTTTCCCCAATAGACATGTCTTAATCCATTCCTTATAGGTGCATTCTTCTCAACTGCTTTTCCTTTACAAGAACCAGAAAGTCCATCATATCCATAAAGAAGATTTTTCCTGATGTGACTCAAGTTCCTTGTGGATCGAACTGCCCAAGTTAACGGTTCACTGTATGACGCTGATGGTGATTTTATTCCTCTACTAGAACAAGAATCATTAAATTCAGCACTTCTCTTGCCTGGATCCATCAACCTGGCCCTTTTAGGCAAAGGATGGTTTATATCTTCCATGAGACAAAACTTTCCTAAAGATGATTGTACCCGGAGACCATTCTGACTCGTAGTCCTTTTCCCCAAAGTCATATTATTGGAGGGGAATCCATCACCTCTAAGCTCATAATAACCACATTTATCATTACCATTATGCGTGCACCAGATTATTTGAACACCTTCTGGTGGATCAGCCAGTGTTCCTTGTGTTTTCAGAATAAGTGATAGAGCAGTTATAGTCTTTCCCAAGCCAGGTTCATCACAGAACATCCCCCCACGAAAATCTCTAATGGTGGGAGCTGTGCCAATAACTATACTGCCAGAAACACTATTAACATAGAAAGGAATCCCATCTTCTGTTGAAAATTCCATGTACAAGGGATGACATAAAACCTCAGCATTCCGCTCACGCCTTAACATCCATTCAACTGCTGCCTGCTGATGAGGGAAAAGTTTAAGTTTCATACATGGCATTATTAATGCAGCCAAAGACCTTAGATGACGGCAGGTCGCTGCTACCCTGGTAAGATCCATTGGGCCAAGTGCAGCTAGAATATTAATCAGGATATCATCAGCTATGTCCCAAATGCCAGAAATATGAGTGTTATCAGCTGGTTGTACTCTAGAAGAATGAGCCATTCCCTTAGTTGTTAAACTAGGCAAGCTCTTGAAAATGTCATGAAGCTCAAATAGCCTTTCATTCAAAAGGTCAACACCATCACAATGCAACTTGCATCCTAGAACATGACAGTCAGAAATACTCCAGATGCTCCGTACATTTCCATGACCATCTTTACTAATCTCTATACCATTATTGAGCATCAAATTTCTTTCCTTCCAATCACAGCTGAAAAAGCAAACTACTTTAGAGCGGAATAAAAGAGACAAACTGGTGCAAATTTAAGGGAAAAATAACCTATTTAACTGATGAAATCAACTAAAAGGGGTACTTGCACAATGCATCCAAAAATTAAAAATTTTAGTTTCTTTGTGCATGAAAGCAATACTAGTTTGTTCAGGAAGCAATGTAGAAGAAAAAAAAAGTAGTTATTCCCAGTTGGAAACTACCATTTAGATCTGTTCTTTGCTTAGGTTATAGCACAAAAGACAAAATAAAAAGGTTTCTCATCCAAGAATCTCTACAATTAATAATTTTAAAACAAACAATGTGACCTTCCATAATCTAAATATCCGTCTGTTTACGCCTATTCCTCTTCAGCCACATATTGCTCTAAGAGGAATGTTGCAGTAAGCCAATAGAACAGATGTGAAATAGAGCACTTGTAATTCAAGTTTACGCAAATGAAACTCACAATCAAGAATAAGGGTGGCAAAATTATCCCTAAATAATAAAATTCAAGCAAGCTAATGAATATCATCTGATTAGGACCAATGTAAATCAAACAAGGAGCATTTATCATGCTTTTTCAATGAACTTTTACCTCTAAAATTGCAACCAGCACGTCTACCCCATCACTTTACCTCAGGACAAGACTCTAGCATCCTAACTTCCATTAAACTCATTGCAAAAGAGTATTTTCATTATAATTTCACAAATTTTCCACAATAAAAAACAGCTGATCGTCTATTCTTGTCCATTGCTTTTGCTACTTGCTTATTACTAAAATAATCAAATTGATTTCTTAAGAATAGTAAAGAATTTACCTTAAGTGCCTAAACAAGGAACCAGCAACAGAGCCGGACCTGGGAAACTGCCAACCGGAGCAAAAGTCAACCGGCAAATAAACCTCCACTAGCAGCACCGCCCTAGCTTCCTCACCATTCTCCTCCACTTTCAAAACCCGCGCCTGGATCTTCACGCACTTATGAACCACCAATGCATGAATCCGGTGCACCACACTTATGCTCCCTTTCACCATCCCAATCTTCCCCCTCCCTCTCTTCCTCGAATTCCCAGCATTATCGCTATTCGTAACGACATGGTTTCGAATTGCATAAAGAACGATGCCGTTTTGGCATTGGAAGCAAATGTTGTCGTTATCGTCGGTGGTGAGGTGGCAAGGAGCGGAGAAAGGGATGGTCGTGGCAATGGATTGGGGAGGAACCGTGAGAACCGTACAAAGGTAACCGCAGAGTGTGTGATCTGGTACGGTTTCGTTCATTACATTAAATTTATGAAATTTTTTGGGTACTTTTCAAATTTTTGGTACAGTTTATCCGGTTCTTCTCCTTCAGGAAGAGGAGAAGGACCGAAGACGAAGAAAGAAACAATTTTTCAAGGCGGTTTTCTGTAGAAGAGAGGATGGGTTAGATTGGGTGAGATGAGTGGGCTCCAGGATTTTTAGGGTTTTGTTCCGGTGTTATGAGGTCTAGTGTTTTAAGTTGTTACTGGTTGTTTAATTATCAAATATACTCTCAACCTTTTATACAAAATGAATTCAAGTCCCAAACATTTTATCGCATACAAATTCGATTTATATTTTTTATGTAAATAAATTTAATAAAATTTTGTTAAGTTGAACGCATATCATCCAATATGAATGATGATATGTAATAATAAGGTCATGTGAATAGATTAGATCGGCATTTTTCTAAAGAAAAAAGAATGATAAAAAAAGATGGTTTTGATTGGGTAAGATGAGTGGGCTCCAGGATTTTTAGGGTTTTGTTTTGGTGTTTTAAGGATTAGATTTTTGAAGTTGGTACTAGTTGTTGGTATTATCGTCAATTTTAAAATCAGTTTTTCAGCGTTGTTGACTTCGTTTTTGAGTTTTTTTTTTTTAATATTTAAATATATCTTAAATTTTTTTTATACAAAATAGATTTAAGCTTTTAACATTTTATTGCATACAAATCAATTTATATTTTTTTTATTTTTGTATAAATAAATCTTATAAAATTTTGTTAAATTAAACTAACCATCTTTAATATTAAATCGTATCATCCAATAAAAACAATGATGTGTAATAATTAGGTCATGATGATAGATTATATGACATTTTTTAAAAAAATAATAATTAAAAAAAATGCTCGTGGTAAGAATGTTAATTGGTAGGATATGAGTCAGAGTAGATCATTTCTCATCCCTATCCTCAAATTTTTATATTATATATATTCCTATCCTATACCCAATCGATATTTTTAATTTATCACATTCTTATCTTTATGGGTATTTAATGAATATGGGTAATCCACGTACCCATAATTTTTTTAAAAATAAAAAATAAAATTTTTATTTTTTTTTATTTTTATTTTTGTATATTTAGATTTTTTTTATAAATATATATTAATATATATTTTTTCAATAAAAATATATTAATTCTAATTAATCTAAAATAATAATTTATATTATTTAATAAAAAATCTAATCTAAAATAATAATTTATATTATTTAATAAAAAATCTATTTATTAAATATATATAAATATATAATGTACAAGTACGAAAGCGAGTATTATTTTATCTGTCTCCATCCTCATACCAAATAAAAATTTAAAATCTTACCCATCCATATCTCCACACTCATAATATAAGGCTTATCTCTATTCCCATTTGGATTGTAAAATTGACATTTCTAGCTAGTGGTTTGGTTGAAAAAGAAATCAACAAATAAAAGGTAAAAAAAATGCTCAATTTAAAAAAATGCCTTGGTTAAGAAAAACAAGAAATAAAAGTAAAAATTTTGAAGAATAAAAGAAAAAAAAAACTAATGGGCTAGGAAAAGATAAGAGTTCTTGTTGTCATTTAAGGATTGTTGGGATTAAGGTTTGAGATTTAGAGTGCTTTCGAGTTTTGTGATGTAGAAACAACGTCTTTCATTCGAGAATATATCGATTTAAGGTGTTTTAATTTAAGGTTAGGTTAATTTAGGGTTATTTGCAGAAAAAGATTTTGGTGATTTAAAGGTTTTATGTGGGTTATTTTTTAGATTTAGGGTTTCCATGATTTATAGATTTTTTGGTGAGTTAAAGTTTTCATTTATGCTATTTAGGGTTTTTAGAGAAGGATTTTAATTGATTTAGGTTTTTTAAAGTGTGAGTCTCTTCTAGGAGTTTTGGGAATGTTGTAGGGTTTTTTTAGGAAGTGCTATTGTTGGTTGAAACTTCTACCAAACTTGTGTAAAACGTGTTCTACTATTGAAAAGATTTTATGAGGATTGCTAGAAAAGTAAGGGTTTGTTGGTAGAAATGCTTGAGTCAAATGCTTTTGTATATATATATATATATATATATATATATATATATTATATTTTTGTCAATTTAGCTTTTATGTTGTGAAAATTTATGTCTAATAAAAGAAATATTTTATGTGCTATATCAGTTCTACCACCACAATGTTTCATATATTGGTTGTGTGTTGTTAATATTTTTATAGCATTTTTAAGGCATCTTTTGTTGTCCAAAAAGAAAAGGAAGAGAAAAACATCCTTCTGGTAAAGAAAGTGCTAATATTGGTTTAAGAACAAATTGTGCAAATTTCGGTTTAAAAGAGGTAAAAATTATGTTTAAAATTGTCTTGCTTTTAGTATTTTCTAATTTTATATTTATATTTATGTTAGTTACAAGACTAGCCCAAAAAAAGTTAAATTGTATCCAGATGTTGTGATTAGATTTTTTTTTTATTTGTTAGATAAGATAAAATTTTATTTTTTCGTACCAAAAATGCTTAATATATGTCTCTCTAGGCATATTTTTAGCTTATATAGTGATTTGTGCCTCTTACAAAATTATTAAGATGATTTTTCTATCACACATTGTCAACTTTTTAATGGTACTATTTTCCTTCGTAGTTTTACTTCAACGTTATTTTTGTAACCTAACTTCTACCTTGAAGTTAAATGTATCCGACATTTATTAAAATAGCCTATCATTAGGATAAATAGTGTTATTGTATTAACTGTTTATGACTAATCCATAAATGTGTACATAAACAAAAAAAAGTGTTGATACAAGTTAAACATAAAAATGTTACTCAACATCAAGCATTAGTAGATAAAAAAAAAAAGTAGGTCACCATACCTATTTGGTATTGGTTTATATATTACTTAAACACTCGAAAGTCAATTCTAAATGCAAACATATTAACCTTTTCAAATTGATAAATACTTATGTTTTTAAAAATAAATTAATCTTTTACTTTTTTAAAACTTTGATTGAGGAGTGCAACACAAGTGAGAAACAATATGTTAACAACAAGAAAAATTTAACATGAATGTTTATGTTCAATATTAGTTAATGCCATGACTTTTTTTATTTTATGTAATTTTTTGTTGAATTTGTTATCCAACAATCCAAATTGCTAATTGCTTTTTACCAAATGTAATTAAAAGTTCATGGTTTAATATGGGTTAATTGAATGATGTTATATATGGCTTACTTTTAGACTTGCTTTCATTTTATAGCATTTTGTTAAAAGGTGTTGTATATAGATGTTAGTAAAATAAATATTTTTTGTTTCAGATTTTTATCTAATTTTGTTTTGTTTGTTCTCTTTTATTTACAAATGGTGATATTTGTTATTTTTCCTACTTATTTTTTTTGTTAGTATGATATATGAGTAAGTTTAAATAGTGAAAGATATCGCATGTTTTTACTCTTTTTATTTATTTTTTTCTGTTATATGATACACGAAGTTTTTTCTCTTTTATTTATAGGTTTAGATGGTGATATTTGTTATTTTTTTGTTTATTTTCTCTTTTATTTTTGTTGTATGATACATAAGCAGGTGGTGAAAGATATTACATGTTATTTCTCTATTTATTTAATTATTTTTATTTTTGTTATATGATGCATAAGTAAGTTTGAATGGTGAAAAATATTAATTATTTTTCTCCTATTTATTTCCTTTTTTATTTTTGTTGTATTGTAATTTTTGGCTCTAAGTGTAATTTTTATTTTTTTATTTGTTTACAAAATGTTAGCAATTCACACGGACACTATCTACCATGTCATCGTGACAGTCATAAAGTTAATCCAATTTAACAAAATTTTACTTAAATTACATTAATTATAAAATTTTGAATAAAAGGTTAGAGCGGATATTTGAGTGTTAAAGCTTCTTTCTTTTTTAAATATATGTCTTTTTTTGGCCATTCGTTTTTTTTTTTTTGGGTCAAGAGGATTTAAACAAAACGAAAATATATAAAGTACCAAAAATGGTAAACAAAAGCCAGCCGAACTACAAACCCTAACCAAAGGCTTGATTAATACCGACATGGCAAGAGACAGTTGCTTGGCTCGCGTCACCGCTGGGGTTGCCGTCGGAGGCGCTCTTGGCGGCGCCGTTGGTAAGTTTCCAATTCTTGCGCCACTCACTAAAACCCTAAACATCATTTCTGTTTTATTTACTGAAATATAGGAAAAAATAATTATCAGTAATAATTATTATCGTTTTGAAATATTTGCAAAAGCATGAAATTATTTGTTAGGATATGTTTCAATTTCTAAACTTTAGGGTTTTTGGATTATAGATTTTTCTGATTTTAGTTTCCAGAGTTGATAAATTGCAAAGAAAATTATCAGTAGAAGAAAAAGCACCAGCTTTTGGTTTTTGTGAAGGCCGATTTGGGGGATTTAAAATTTTTTTTTTTCAGTATTACACTTTCTATTGTATTTATTATGAATGATGATATTCACGGTCTTAATTTTGTACTAATGTGAAAAATTGCTTTTTCTTTTCTTAACTCTTTTTGTTTTTTGGTGGCCAAACATAAAAGGTTGTTCTATGATTTTCGGTTAGCTAATTACTTGTTTTGAGCTTGCTTTCTTTGTCATTGTTGACTGTTTGGTTTGTTTTCTGGCTTCAATGAATTTAATGGAACCAAAATTTATACTTTGCGAATTATTGAGTGCATTGAAATGCAGTTGTTTTGTAGGATATTGCTGTTAGATAACTGTGATTAAGTGGGAAGAATTTAGTTCTTGATAGTATGTTTCAATTGATAAGTTAAATTCTCTGGTATGATGATAGTTGTGATACGTAGAAAATATAGTTTTAATAAAAATAAATGATAAAGACACAAAAATATTGTTAATTTGTAGTTTAGGGATTAGAACAGTGCCATTGTTATTTATTTTTTGCAACATGTGAAAGCACATTGGGCTTCGGCTGCAGCTAATTATAGAGAGGTAGCCCTCTTCAATTCCATACATCCCAAACCATTCTTTACAAGATTTTTAAACCGAGATCTATAGGTTGGAAGTCCTAGTTCTAACTATTGAGTACTTTGTGCTAGAGTTTAATGCGTATGCACATAATGTACAACTGTTGAGAAACATGCAGCACTACTACTTTATACTATATTTGGTATTTAAAGAAAGAGGCAGTATTCAAGGCACTATCATGTGCTCCGAATGTCTTGAAAGGTTAGAAGGATGAGGATGGATGACTAGGAGGGGAATTAGATGACTGTAGAGAGGAGGATTGCAGGGAGAGGGTCTTCTATTAGCATCTTCTAAATGTAGCAACTCACTATCTTTGCTTCTTTGCAGTATTCGTTTCCCAGTTCCATTATTTTTCACATGATTCTTTTTAATGCTTTAGTGCATCATATCTTGTTACACTACTTTGTTTTTAATATTTTATTCTGGAACTGTTAATAAGTTGCATTTATGTGATTTTGCTTGTGCAGGTGCTGTATATGGGACTTATGAGGCCATTAGATATAAGGTTAATGTCCAATATTTTACTTTTCTTTCCAGAGATGAAATCATGTTGATTCTGTGTTGGCATTTTTATTCTTGTGGGTAACTTACCACCCCATGAAACTTCCATATTTCAACAAACGCTTTGTCATGTGATAGTTAATTCTAGAATCCATTGATTGTACATTTTACTTCTTGGGAAGCATCTCTGCATTAGCTGCTGTGTTTTATTAGGATAAAAGTTGTCAATAGGGGTGCTCTATGAAGTTTCACTTGAGCTTTGGCAGGGTCATTCTGCTATGGGCCTTGATGATTGGATATGTCGAGGGTCTTGATAGAATATCTTCCATTCTTATTTCAAGTTTTACCTCGCATGAATCAAGATGGTTTGAGTTAGGAATTTTAGGGTTTTAAGTTGATGTGGGAACAACTTCTATAGTTATTCTTGGATTTGTAGTTTTCAGATTTTTAAGTCTTTTATAATCTAGACCTCGAGATTTGTGCAAAAGGCAACTACATACATATAGAAAGAATGAAAGGGGTGTAAGGCCTGGAATTTAATTGGTCAGCCCCAAATATTTAGGGTTAAGGGTAAGCTGAGTTGGGTCGAGTTGTCTAATTTACATATGGTTGCTGTTCTAATTGTTTGGAATATGAAAGAAACAGTTATTGGAGGCAAGAAAACACTTTTTCTGATGAGGAAAACCCAGACAAGGAAATTACTTTCTGAGTTATTACTTGATTTCTTCTCCCAAGTATTACTTTCTTTTACTTCTTTCATAAGAATTATATGGAGCCTTTGGGATCAAGGATCACAATGTTTGGGGAATAGAACTGCCCTTCAGTAATATAATAAAGCCTTGATTTGGATTACTGGGGATGGTATTGGAAGGTTTAATGAGTAGCTGGACATTAATTTAAATGCTAGAAGACAGACGGTGTTAGGCTGCTATTATCATTTAGTATGTATTCATGCATTTGGAATTCATTTTTGCATATCAACATTCATATTTTGGCATTGTTCAGGTTCCAGGACTTCTGAAGATTCGATACATCGGGCAAACCACTCTCGGTAGTGCAGCTATTTTTGGTCTTTTCTTGGGTGCTGGGAGTTTGATTCATTGTGGGAAGTCATACTAAGCATTCTTTGGTTGTTTCCAAACTTTGAGATTGTATTCTCATGATGCTGCTAGCTTTGATAGAAGGTGTATAAAATTTGTTAGCCTTGGTTTTGTTTTTGAGTTTCTGTCTATCTTGCCTTAGGGTGAGTGAAAATTTGAACGTATATGACTTCAATGTGACATACATTGTGTTTGCTTTCCCTTTTCGTTTCTCTCATCAAAGCAAAACATGCACAGGAAATGCTCTTTCTTGCATTTGTTCTCTGTCAAAACTTATTACTCGTTTATCATTATTTGAATTCGAAGTATTGGATAAAATCAAAGGTTGAAGATGTTTCCTAGTCTGGCAATGCGATCGAGAATGTTCCTTAGGGTAACATGCAAGGTTTGAAAGGCTCTAAGCATGTGTGTCTCAATGTGTTTCATAGTTGCAGGTGACATTTCTCATTCTCTTGAAACCGAAATTGTTAACATATAATGCTGGCATACATATTTGACCAAAATGTAGATTTTAGACTTTGATTTATTATTAAATTCTTGTGTACATGATTTGAAGAAGTTCATATGTGAAAATCATGCATTTTTACGGATTCCAGTTACTCCTGAGTCATTGGTAAGTTCATATGTTTGTTCACATTCATACCAAATTTAAAGCTGATGAGAGAAGAAGAAATTTCAAGTACTATTCAGTTCAAAGAGAAGAAAAGCATTAGTCATTCCTTGTTTTCCGTCTATGTAATATGTAAACAGGCTGAATTTCATGGAAAAAGGGTGAAAATAGGAAGGTGTCAACTGTGGCCATTGGTCACCCTCTATTTTGAAGAGAGGTATCAACTGGAAAACTATTGAAATCATTGCTAGAAAAAGGATGCAACTCTATCAAAAGTAGTTGCAAGAATGTTAGAAATTTGTTCGTACTCCTAAGATATAGGACCTAGAGTGACATGGTGCCAAACTTTTCTTTCCATTCAACATATGCATCAAGTTCCATTTGGGAAAGAGAGGGTCTCACCACCTTCAAAGCCTTTTCAAAATCCTGGAGGGCCACTGGCCTCAAATCCTCAGGCTGCAATTCACGAATATCTTTCCCATCATCTCTAATTGCATCCCTTATTGGACCCATCATAGCTTCCTTCACTAAGTTTTTCATGTCTGATCCTGAATAGTCATCAGTTAAGTTGCATATGAGATCGAGTTCTTGTTCTGAAAGCACATATCGCCCACACTTCACTGTATTGAGAACAATGTGTAATCTGGCTTGACTAGAAGGCAAGGGAATGTAGAGCCTTTTGCTGAGTCGCGTACGAGCTGCTTCATCAAGATCTTCAGGCCTATTTGTTGCTCCAATGACTATAATTTGCTCACTTCCAGAATCAATGCCTTCCATTTCAGCCAAAAGCTGTGTTTTGATTCGCCTGATGACTTCGGGCTCAGTATTTGATGACCGCCTAAATAGAATGGAGTCTATCTCATCAAGGAAAATAACAGAAGGTTGTAAATGGCTGGCAACTGCAAAGAGTGTTCTGACAAGATTTTCAGCTTCACCAATACACCTGCCTGGTAATGAACTGGCAGATATATTGAAAAAAGTTGCTTTCATTTCTCCAGCTATGGCTTTTCCAATCATTGTTTTACCTGTTCCTGGCGGACCAAAAAGAAGAACACCTTTGCCTATTGAACCGACACCTTGAAAGATCTTCGGATTTAGTACAGGCCAAAGAACAGTCTCATGCACGCAATTTTTAGCATGTTCAAGCCCTGCAATTTCATCCCACTTAATAATTGCATCCTGATCTATAATCTCATCCAGAATTCGTTTAGTCAGAGGATATTCCAGACGTTTAAGTCTTTCTGGAAGCTCATTGTTTTGACCATATGCATATAGCTCTTCCAAGCGTCCCTTTCTTGTAGAGAATTCTGATGCTGTGCTACCAACATTGATCCCTGGGTTCGGAACTTGCTGTAAACTTTGCTGAAATGTTTGTTGCTGTCCTGGAGAAATAGGAAGTAAAGCTTCATACTGTGGACCAATTGTACTACAAGGAGTCAGTGCAGCTTGGTTCTGCTGAGGAACACTAGGAGTAATTGCAACCTTTTTCTGTGGATGAATATAACTTCCAAAAGGAACTCCAGCATTCGACAGTGGAGAACGAAAAGCATTAAAAGAAGGAACTCTAGCTTGGTTCTGCACAGAAAGAATGTTACAGGGCCTGGCAGCTTGGTTATGTTGAGGAATATTAGATTGAGGAAGCACTGCAGCTCGGTTACAAAGAGGGGTAGCTTGGTTTTTGGGAATAATATCAGGAGGAGATGCAACCTGGCTTTGTTGGAAAAGTGAAAGTGCTGCAGCTTGGTTCTGCTGTACTGATGTAGCATTGCTCTCCCCCATAAGGTTATTGATTATAGCCCTGGTTTTCCCTAGAGAAATCATGATTTCTGATAGAAGTGATTCAATCTCCCAGCACTGATTCACCAAAGCAGTAAGATTAACACACCCTGCAAAGGCTGATCGGACCTTTGAAACTACTTCCTCAGTTCTCTCAACAGAAGAAGAGAGGGATGAAAGAACTAAATCTGCCTGTTCTTTCATCGAGTTTTTGTTCTCATTATTGGACGCATTGCCTTTCTCAGAACCCATATTTTTCTTCTTTCAAAACAACTGCAAACAAAGTTTTTTTATGCATCAACTTTAGAATATAAGTTCTTGATTGACACTTCTATAAAACCCTTAACTAGGTCACCGCAAAGTAATCAAAACCCCAAAAAGAAAATGAATCTTGTAAATATATACATTGTCATCCAAATCTTTCTAATTCGAATGATTGTTTTTTTGTGAATATGGTGGAAAATGATCATTTTTTTTCTTTTTTCTTTCCTCACTTCTCTCCTACCAAACTCATTAAAGATTCATTTTCTTTCATTTTTTTCATCCTCTCCAACCATCCATCCTCTTTTCTTTTCTAACCAAGCACACCCTAAGAGAATTGGAACCCATTTATCTTTATCTTTTTTCTGTTATAATCATGCTAACAGCCTATCATCTACTAAAACATAAACAAAAATCCAACTCGAACATGTTCATGAAATAGTAAGTTTGCATGCCAAAGAAAAAGAAAAGGCAAATATATACCGTAAGCCAAGATTATCTTATTATCGATAGAGAAAACTTGAAGAAGAAGTAAGAAGATATCAGCTATCAAAAAAGAAAAAGACAAACCTGACTAGAACAGAATGAAGAGGAGATTTTCTTCCAAGTAATTTTGCACTTCGTTTTTTGCTTTTATGGCTTATCAAGGGGATGAAAATTGTGCAACGAGCAACAAGGTTACCTTTAAAAAGAAACTGCTAAGGATTTCCTGTCCTAGTTAAGTCAATGTGAAGGAGGCCTTAACTTTGTTGTTTAAATTACCATCAAATTCATTTTGCCCCATTGACCCATTTTTTATAGTTATAAATTTAAATATCAATTGAGAAAAATTAAAATTTAAAATCAAAATGTCAAATTGATGAAAAAAATATAAGATGAATTTAACTTTGTTGTTAAATCATCATATTTGATAAAAAATTCGTAACTTAGAGCATTAGTAATTTAGTAAGTTGCGTAACAATGAGCTTATATTTTTTGTAGTAGTCTAATTTAATTTTCAATCAAAATAGCAAAAAAAATTTGTCACCCAAATGTAATAATTCATAAAATTATGAACAATTTTAATTGTTTTTGAATGGTTTTGATTTTGATAAAATATTCTGTTTACTTAATTCAAAAATATATTACATGCTCCTTGCTTTATATATATATATATTATATGAATTTTTATTTTCCATGTAAATTTATCATTATTGTAATAAACCTAATTTTATTCCCATTAGAAGATTCTTTTTAATGTAACTTATATGAAAGTTATTTTATTTATTGACAAATAGTCCTTTGGTATTTGTTAATATAGTAATTTTATTTATACGTTTTTCAAAAAATATAATATTATTAACATTTTGATTGGTTGATACAAAATATTATCTTAAAAATTAAATTTGACAATTTAAAACAAATATGATCACATAAACGAATACGATACGAATATAAAATACAAATATAATATGATTTAGAATTTTATTAATAACTATATCTAAAAATATTTTATGTTTTTGTATAAACATAAATTATAACACGTAATTTTTTTGTAAAATATGATACTAATACATAAATTTTAATATTTTATACCACACCAAGAATCGCCAAATCTATTAAAAATATTGAAAAAAATACTTTTTTAATTATTATAATATGGTTATTTTAGCATTTTACATTATATAAAATAAAATGAATATCTTTTACAAAAAAAAAAAATCACAGTCTAAGAATTAAAGATTGCAGGTGTTATAATTTGAATTTTAAATCTATTAGATACCACATTTTAAGGGTGTTTATATGAACTAAATGAGTTAAACCTTCAATATACAAAGTTGACAAGCTCAGGCAAAATGAGGATTAAGCTTTTGAGCATTCCATAAATATACATTATAGGAAAAATCAACAAAAACCATTTGCTTAAGGATGCCATATCAGCAACTGTTTCAGCCAGTCCAAAGAAAACAATATTCTTAGGGAAGCCAAAAACAAACCTAAAAGGAATACACAGGAGCCAGGAATAGGATGCTTTCCCTTCAGTCGGATGGCGAAATGACTGTAAAACATTGAACAGTCATAGGTCTATTATTGAGGCGTTTGGCCATGCGGTGGGGGACCTGGTGGTGGTGGAGGTGGCATACCAGACTGACCACCAGACTGCAATAAATGGAAGCATAAGTTACTGTTATGAATTCAAATACCTAATTACAAGCCTCGGACGAGGCTGCATGCAATGCAGGAGAGAGGGATTGTGATGGTTTCTCATTTTGATACCAATCAATTCCCCTTGAATGCCTCAGAGTGTTGTTCTACCATTGATTCTGGCTGCAAATCCAGCCACTGACATAAATATAGTGATGGAGACACAGTACAGATCAAGGAGAGTGAATGAGACATTACAGCAGCAAGGAACCTTCTCTAATTTACCTGGTAAGGATTGAACCCTGGCATAATTGGTATCTGTCCACCCTGTGTGCGATTGAATGCACCACCCTGCGAATACATTTGGCCTCCAACCGTGTTTGTTGGGCCCTGCATATTTAGCATACCATTTGGAAAACCTCCAACTGAAGGAACACCACTGGTAGGCAAGGATCCTGAGTGCATTGGATTCATGCTCATAAAATGGCCTTGCTGCGAAGGAGGAGGCATCTGATTCATTGTACCTTGCATACCCTAAAATTTTGAAATAAGTTTGATTAAGCTTCATAAACTTTGTCTTGGATTGAAGAGACTTAACCCCAAACAAATATCTTAGCATAACATATTTACAGAAAAATCTACAATGGCTGCATCATTCAAATTGCATAGGATATAATTTAATGCAGAAGTAAATGGTATTTTGCATCTACAAAAATCCATCAATCACAGTATTTCAGGAAGATTAATAGCTGGTTTGAAGTTACAAGATGATTAAACTTCTCAAGTTCATTTACAAATTTGAAGCAGCTTCTAAAAATTTCAATCCAAACTAAATAACTCATTCTATTAAAAGGGGAAAAAACCTAGAACCGTTTCAGTTTTACAAGAAAAACTTGGTTCTGCATGCCAAACAAATATGCACATGAAAACACATCTGCTAATTGCCATATTCAAACAGGCCACATAACTTCAATGTGAGAAAATTAAATTCTTTCCTATTTTACTTCTCAAACAAAACATGAAACAACTTTCGAATTTAGGCCAAGAGGTCCATCCACAACCCATATGCATAAGCCCAGCTTCAACAGAAATACATGCCATACAAGTATGAACCAACATGGGCAAATGAGTTAGAAACTGAATACAATTCTTTCCTATTTTAAAACAAATTTTAACTACAAGTAATTGGAGCCTAATGATTTGAAACTGAAAAACATAGTTGCAAAATGGAATAATATGAAGTAGAGATATGTAAAAGGTCATACCATTGCACCAGGAATTGGCATTGGATGTGATGCTGGCATTGATGAAGATGGAGCCAAAGATCCTGGCATTGAGGATGGAATGGCTGAAGGCATACCAAGGGGAGGCATTTGGGGTGGAGGGCGTTGTAAATGATGATGTGGAAGCAGGGGCATATGAGATGGAGGCTGTAGCTGTTGCATATTTGGAGGTGCCATAGGCATAGGAGGCATTTTCTGTTGCATTGCCTGTTGTTGCTGTTGTTGAATTTGTTGGGGGTTTTGTTGATATCCCAGCTGCTGATTGGCAACAAGAAGAGATGGATGTGGACCAGGAGGAAGAGGAGGAGCTCCAAAAGGCATGGAACCTGGAAGAGACTGCTTTTGGTCCCCCTGAACAGACGCATCAAGAGAAGGAATTGATAAAGGCATAGGAACTCCAACACCAGGAATTGTTCCCTCATTTCGAGTCAATCCAGGAACAAATGGTCCTGGAGTTATGGGACCTTCAGGTGCTGCAAAATTACTGGGCATGCGACCAGCTAGTGCAGGGTTTTGCTCACCATAGCCTAGATACAGTTCATAGGGCTATTAAGTATAGACCAAAGTATATTAAAAAGAAAAAGTATAAACCAAAATATAAATACTCCAGCATAATTACAGAACAACACTGAGTTTTGCATGAAATCCAATTAGCATCAAACAATTGAATTATTCAGGTAGAGTGGACCAAACAAACAACTGTTAGGACACCTCTTTCTTTTCTTCCTTTCTTTTTCCAGATTATGGGGAAGAGGTGAAAATGATAGAGCGGGGCAATAAATAGAAACCTTGGTTCTGACCCGTGTTAAATTTATCACGCGCAGTATCTCCTGGCCTATTTCTGCACCAAAACTTTGTCGTGTGATCATTGCTACCACTGCATGATTATGGATACAAGTTAAACGCCTGAACATGGGTAAATTACATATATATAAATATATATATATAAGGCAAGCCCTAGCGTTACAACCGGTAAAAAAACAGTAAGAATAGCATGTTCAATGGACTTTCCACAGCCACCCAAATGGCTATTGCTCACAGTGCCAAGCCATATCAGCATCAATGCTGGCATAGCATGAATCAATGCAAGGCAGAAAGAGTGGCATAAAGATACCAACTACACTCCATGTGCACATGTACATGGACAAGAACCTAAATATCATCCCATCTATATAACAGGAGACTTGGCCCTCAGAAAACTTTTAGAGATAGTGTATATTGAATTTTAAAGCATCTCATAAGATGATTTATCTTTACAGATCCATTTTTTATTATCCTTCTGGAAAAAATTCAAATATGATGCGATTTAAGCCTCAAATTCAGAGACTATATGTAGAGAACAAAATCTGGATTGAAAATTATGATTATGGCAGAAATTAACTTCAGCTAATAGGATCACAATTCAAGTTCAAATATAGTAAATATGCCCAACTCTAACAATTTACTTGTTACTCTAATGCAAGAACTAAAGACAAGGTATACATAAAGCTTTAACCCCATCTTACAAGCGGTTTTGCCTTTAGAGGTTCCAACTATTATTGACTGAACTTTCACACTTTGGTTTAGAGCATTCAAACTAAAATTTTCACCGTGGCAGCAAAACTGTAAAGTTCTAAGTTTCCCCAGCATGAATTTTACAATCATGCAATGAATGCAAAAAATTTTTCTAGAACTTTTGATATTTTAAAATTATACAGTTTTATTTTGCACAATGCTAATAATAAAATAGTATTAAGTCAGACCAGGATCTGACAATATATTTGGTTTTATAGATATTCTCAAACAATTTCATTCAATTTCTGTCTCAAAAAATCAAACATGATATATAGCCGACACTTGTAGGAAGTTGAAAAGAGTCCAGCATATCGACACATAAAAGCATAGGTATGCATACAACTATTTAAATTTTAAAATGATATGGATAAACTACAACAAGATCGCCAAGAAGCATGCAGGATAACAGTAAAGTACTAGGATGAGTTTACCTGCATAGAAGATAACCAATAGGATGCCAGGCTATATCCCACACGCTATTATCATGTGCATTGGGAATTTCAACCTGGGGAGTTTCATGCCTGTACAACAGAATGATCTTTTAGTAATTTCAAGTTACAAAAACTCATCCATCATTAATTCCAAAACAACATCAATAAATTTTATAACCAATAGTTGTAAGAAAAACCAAATCAACAATTGTGATACAGAAGGGCATAATGAATCTAATACATTTGAATACTAGACAGATGACCATTTTCATAGATGAACTTCATAAAATCAATTTTAATGTGAAAAGTTTATCTAATAAAATAAAAGATAGCAAATTTGCTTTTACTAAAAAGTTTAAATTCCCTTATGCT